GCATTTTTGTGCATTTTCAATGCACCAGCATCAAACTGAGCTCAGGAAGCCCAGGCTCTGGTGGAAGAAGACAGTTTTAAGAAATAAGCCTGGGCCCGGTGCTGTGGCACAGCAGGTTAAAGCCCCGGCCAGCAGCGCCAGCATCCCATATGGGTGCCGGTTTGTGTCCTGGCTGCTCCTCTTCTGAACCAGCTCCTTGCTAATGCACCTGGGAAAGCAGCAGAAGATGGTCCAAGTGTTTGGGTCTCTGCACCCATGTAGGAGACTTGGAAGAAGCTCCTGGCTCCTGGCTTCTGCCTGGCCCAGCCCTGGCCATTGTGGCCATCTAGGGAGAGAACCAGTAGATGGAAGACCACCCCCCACCCTGCCTCTCTGTAGCTCTGCCTTTCAAATAAATAAATATATCTTAAAAAAAAAGAAAGAAGGCTTTGTGGGAAACCCAGTGAACATGGCATTCACAAGGTGCTGGCAGAGCAGGGAGCAGCAGCTGACTCAGCCATGGGGTCAGGAAAGGCTCCACTGAGACAGGAGCCTCGCCTTGAAGGACGGATCAGGATTGGTTACCGGCCAAGGTGCAGGCCACAGCCGGCGCAGGAACGGATTCCTGCACCTGTGTGTTCTACCTGGGGCAGAACAAGACACAGGGCCAATAGGCTCCCGGCTCTGACTTCATCGTGTTTGGACAAGAGACATCAGAAACAGGGCTGAAGGTCAACTGATTCTGGGGAACCCCCATCAAACACCGACTCCAGGGAAGTGGGTTTTGCTCATGCCTAGGCACGAGCATTCTCTCAGCATCCTCCTCATTCTCGCAGCACATACAATACATGTGAAAGACACAGAAGCTGTGCAGGCAGTGTGGCGCAACGGGTTAAAGCCCTGGCCTGTAGTGTCGGCATCCCATATGGGCACCGGTTCAAGTCCCGGCTGCTCCACTTCCGATCCAGCTCCTTGCTAATGTGCCTGGGAAAGCAGTGAAAGGTGGCCCATGTGCTTGGGCCCCTGCACCCAGGTGGGAGACCCAGAAGAAGCTCTTGACTTTGGATCAGCCTAGCTCCAGTCGTTGGGGCCATCTGGGGAGTGAACCAGCAGATGACGATCTTTCTTTCTCTCTCTTTCTCTCTTTCTCTACCTCTCTTTGTTAACTCTGTCAAATAAATAAAATAAATCTTAAAAAAGAAAAAAAGACACAGAAGCTTGTCGGAATGTGAGCAAATCAACAGTTCTCAGAAACTTCAGGAAAACGAAGCATCAGAGAAAGATAGCTCAGAAAATGGGGCTGATGAGGCCAACTCCATCCTCCTGGGTTTCACTGGGTCTCAGAAGTCATGCTCGCCTGTGACTGTGATCAGCCTACCTGCTTGTCAGTCAGATCAACAGAAAGGACTTTAGAGTCAGGCAGGCCCGGGTTTAGATCCTGGCTTTCTGTGCTGTAAATATCCCAGAGCCTTGATTTTCTCATCTGTAAAATGGGGACCACCAGAGATCAGGCATGATTGCGGATGCTAAACGAGATAAGGCAGGGAGAGTGCTCAGCACTTACCCAGCGCAGGGGCAGACTCTGCAATACGCTGCTGCTGTGAGCGGGAGCGGAGGGAAACCGACAAATCAGCTCCGCAGGTAGGGAAACCTGACGAGAGACTTTCACTCCACCAGTTACTTTCGTTTTTTAGTTTTGTGTAGGTTCCTTAACCTTTCCAGTTTTCAGTTTCTTTAACTGAAGCGCAGCGTTAACACCTGTGACAAAGGGTATGTCAGTGGACTAATACGTGCTTAGTGCAGTGTCTGGCATTTATTCAACACTCAGTAAGTGGTGGTGATGAGGATGATGATGTTAGTGGTAATATTAATAGTCAAAACTCACAAAGCTCTTACTAAATGCCAGGAACTGTTCTAAAGTACTTTACACGTATTATCTCTTTATTTAGGCTTCACAACCAATGAAGTCGTGCAATTCTTTTGTTGTTGTTGTTTAGAAGATTTATTTATTCTGAAAGTCAGAGTTATAGAGAGGGAGAGACAAAGAGATCGCCATCTGCTGGTTCATTCCCCAGATGCCCACAACAGCCCAGGGCTGGGCCAGGCTGAAGCCAGGAGCCAGGAGCTTCATCCTGGTTTCCCATGTGGGTGCAGGGGTCCAAACACATGAGCCATCTTCTGGTGTTTTTTTTCCAGGCCATTAGCAGGGAGCTGGATCAGAAGTGGAGCAGCCAGAATAGGAACTGGCACCCATAAGGGATGGTGCAGACAGAGGATGTACCTGCTACAACACAGTGCCAGCCCTGGTGGTCCAATTCTTACCTTCATTTTACACATGAGTCCTATAGAACTTAAATAGGTTGTCCAGGATCACAGAACTGGTAGACTCTTACCTGGGCAGTCGATTTGAGTCTATGCCTTAAACCACTGATTTCCTGAGGATTATGTGAAAATCATCTCAGTCAACAGCCACTGAAGGTCACGCCAAGGACCTTCACTAAGGTCTCAAGTACTTTCTGTTTCTGGCTGGAGCTCCTCTGCCTGCCCCATAAGTTTTCATGGCATGTGGGGGTGACCGCTGCCCAAGATCAGGTGCATTGCTAAGGCCAAATGCTGTTCTATGAGAACCAAGATGGCCTTCCCTGGATCCTTCACTGGGCTCAGTCTGCCGATGGCAGCTGACTGTCCTGGCATGAGAGGGACAGCTCTTCTCCTGGCCACACCGACAGGCAGCGTTTGGAGTCTGCTTGCTGATTTCACAGGGGAACACTAGGGGAGGAAGGAGTTTCTTACACTTGCTTTGCTGCTTCATAGCCCTCCAAGCAGGCTCTAGCAATGGCGGTGTGATCAGGGAAGAGAGGCTGATGGCAGTCCCAGGGCCTCCTGCTCTCCTCCAAGATTCCCAAGGCTCCCGCAGTCACAGTTCACAGGAAGCCAAGAAGAGCACTGAGCGGGGGTGGGGGGAGTTATTGTAGCGCAGCGGGTTAAGCAGCCACTTATGATGTTGGCATCCACTACCAGAGTGCTGGTTCAAGTCCCAGTTGCTCCATTTCCAATCCAGATTCCTGGTAATGCACTTGGGAAGGATACAATGGCCCAACTACTTGGGCCAGTTGGAAAACCATGATGGAGGTTCTGGCTCTCAGCTTCAGCCTGGATCAGATCTGGTGGTTGCAGCCACTTGCAGAGTGAACCAGTGGATGGAAGATTCTCTCTCTCTCTCTCTCCTCTCTGTGTCACTCTGCCTTTCAAATAAATTAAATCTTTTTTTTTATTAAATATTTATGTATTTATTTGACAGAAAGAGAGAAAGAGAGAGAGAGAGTCTTCCATCCACCGGTTCATTCCCTAAATGGCTGCAACGGCCTGAGCTGAGCCAATCCAAATCCAGGAGCCTGGAGCTTCTTCCAGGTCTCCCACGCAGGTGCAGGGGCCCAAGGACTTGAGCCATCTTCTACTGCTTTCCCAGGCCACAGCAGAGAGCTGGGTTGGAAGTGGAGCAGCTGGGACTAGAACTGGCACCCATATGTGATGCCAGCACTACAGGTAGCAGCTTTACCCACTATACCACAGTCTCGGCCCAATAAATTAAATCTTTAAAAAAGAATAAGGGGCTGGGGCCGGTGCCCTGGCTTACTTGGTTAATCCTCCGCCTGCGGCACTGGCATCCCATATGGGTGCTGGTTCTAGTCCTGGTTGCTCCTCTTCCAGTCCAGCTCTCTGCTGTGGCCTGGGATAGCAGTAGAGGATGGCCCAAGTGCTTGGGCCCCTGCACCCGCATGGGAGACCAGGAGGAAGCACCTGGCTCCTGGCTTCGGATCGGCACAGCTCCGACCGTTGCGGCCATCTGGAGAGTGAACCAACAGAAGGAAGACCTTTCTCTCACTGTTTGTAACTCTGTCAAATAAATAAAATTAAAAAAAAAAAAAAAAGAATAAGGGGATCAGCATTATAGCATACCTGGTTTAATCCACTGCCTGAATTTTTTGCTGGTATCCATATGGGTACCAGATCAAGTCCCGGATGCTCTACTTCCGATCCAGCTCCCTGCTAATGCGCCTGGGAAGGCAGTGGAAAATGGCCCAAGTCCCTGGTTCCCTGTTACCCTTATAGGAGACCCAGAAGAAGCTTCTGGCTCTTAGCTTTGGCCCGGCACAGCCCTGACCCTTGTGGCCATTTGGGGAATGAAGCAGTAGGATTAAAGATCTCTCTCTCTCTCTCTCTTTCTCCCTCTTTCTGTATGTAACTCTGCCTTTCAAATAAATAAATAAATCTTAAAAAAAAAATAAAAATACCAGGGACAGGTGGTAGATACCCTGGCTTGTGAAAAGGACAAGTAATAAAACACAGCTACGTTATGGTAATAGCCAGGGTCAGAGACCAGATCCAGGAAAGGAGACAGGGGCAAATCAGTCCAGCCTCTCTGGTCAGTTGGCACAGCTGCCATGAAATGGCTTTCCATGAGGCACTTAGCTACTATAACCTCCAGCAGCCCTTCCCCTCCTTTCAAATTGCCCCAAATAAATAATCTAAACTGAAGGCCAACCCCATGTATAAGTCAGCTTTTTGTTACTACAATGAAGCACCTGAGGCAACAACCTGCATAAGGAAAGGAGGTTTGTTTTAGCTCATGGTTTTGGAGGTTCACAGTCCAAGATCAGTTGGTTTGGGCTCTGTTGCTGGTGTTCTGAGGTGGTACAGAGTATCACAGGGCAAGAGGGAGCCAGCTTGTCTGTGCCCATGTGATCTCCTATAGAGCCACCAGCATTTAATCATGGGGGCTCCACCCTAAAGACCCAATCCAATCACCACCTCCCAGACACTATAATTGGATTAAGTTCCCATTCTCCTGGTATCATTAACATGAGACTGTGGGGACCAAACCTCTATACATAGGACCTTGGGGGTATATTCAGCATCCAGACTAATACCCAAAACATAGCACCAAGCCTCCCTCCTGATGAGACTGCTGCCACAAGCCTCTTTCATAGAAATGTTCACACCACCATGGCTGCTTGGTAGTCTATGGTCTAGTTAGAGTCAGAGGCAGGAAGCTCTGCCTTCTACTTTAAGTATCTGCAGGAAATAACTGTCTGTGATCCTCTCAGGGATGTGTGTTCTGCCGACCCTGCATTCCACTTGTCTCTTGCACTGGTGCTGCCCGGATGACTGACTGCACAAACTGTAAGTGTGGGGGCTGTTGTCTATCCTGGGACATGGAGATCTGAAAGGTAGGCGGCAGCATGCTCATCAGGAACCAAATGCAAATGCGGCCAGGTGCAGAGGCTGGCGGCTGTGGGAACTCTGAAGTACCTGGGTTTGGGTGAGCAGAGTCGATAAGGGAATTGCCAAGTGGACTTTGACCTTGTGGACAACAGAAGAAGACAAGAAGAGTCTCTCAAACTAGGACAGACAGCATGAAGCTGGTAGGCAGATACACATGGACAGACACAACCAGGAATCTCAAAGACAGGGCAAAGTATGGGTGAAATGCCACTTACAAGATGAGCAGGAGTTGATATGGTTAGGCACTTGTGTCAAAAACAAAACAAAACAAAATCAACCAACCAGCCAACACTGCTGAGGTTTAGATTGTAACTGTAACCCCAGGCACAAAAGGTAATATTTTGAGGTCCTATTTCCTCACTTGCAAATTAGGATAATAATAACGTCTACATCATGAAGATGTTATGAGGATTAACTCAGTTATTTTAGGTAAAATGCTTAGCAGAGGGATGGTGACAGTGACTGGTGACACCTACATGGTGCTTAGCACAGTACTTCCCACCCTGGCAGTCTCATACCAGAGCCTGTCTTCTTAACCATCATGCTACACTTGCCGAGATGTTAGGTATAATTCTTGTCATCAACAACTAGGGAGAGGTGTAGCTGAGCCACAGCAGGTGTGAAATGATGTTAAGGATGTAGAGAGGCCGCTAGTTCAACTGCAGTCACGTAAAGATTGTCTAGACTGAGGTAGGGTACAGACGGGGCTACTCTTTGCAGTGTGGGCATCTCAGGTGGACAGAATTCAAGACACACAGAAGCAGGATCATAGGAAAATGCTCAGAGTAGCCACATCATGGCTGACAAAGAACAGCCAAAGGATCTGGGGTGTTCTTCCTGAAGAAAAGACTCCAGGGAGACACGACAGTGCTTTTTGAGGTCGTCAGCCTGCTCTGTAGGAAGCCAAGGCCCAGAACTAGGCCAAGCGGGAGTCAGCTCGGGCAGACAGATGCCAGCTCAGAACTGGGAAGGCCTCTCTGACATGCTAACCCATGGTGGTCATGAGCCTCCTGTCCCAGAGGCCCCTGAGTACTGGCAGGGCCCAGACCTCTGGGATTCAAATACTGGGCCCGTGGGTAGTGGTTTCCAACCGTGACATTCTAGGGTTGTAGGACCACTGGCGTATGCAACAAAAATAACAAAGCAGTTGTTCCATTTGGGGGCACACTGTGGTATGTTGGTTTTTTCTCCCATTTTAAATAACCATTTTAACTTGTCTAATCTAGGGAGCCACTGGCTGAGAGCAGCCCTCTGCAGAGTGACCTGTAGAGGCTGGTTTTCAGTGAGAGAAGCCCAGAGTCTGGAGGGAGGTGCTGACTAAAGGCAGCTAAGGGGGCAACAGGAGGCCACAGGGTAGGGAGGAGGGGAGCAAAAGGCATCCAATAGCTGTTAGAAACGGGAAAAGCAACGAAGGTCACGGGAGGCCACTTGGAGGTTTGAAGCCTGTTACACGGCTACCTCAGGCCAGGGGGACTGTCAGCACCACACGACCTGGGCGATTGTCAAGAACAGGAACCTGCAGGCTCCCCTCCCACCACTGCATCGGAATCTGCATTCTAACAAGTTCCCAGGTGACCCCTGTGCACAGGAAAGCAGAAAAGCACTGACATGGAGATGATCTGAGCGAGACCCAGGCTGTGACGGGCTGCTTGCTTCTTTCCTCTGTGAAAGAGAGAGCCGGGGGATGCTGGGGTAACAGGAAGGGCCTGGTGCTGGAGCCTGGTCTCCATGGGGATGGCCCAGCTCTGCTGCCAGCCCAGCTGCTCAATTCTGTCTGTTTCTTCATCTAGTCGGGTTAAGCGCATCAGTCCAATTTGCATAAGCGAGCCTTCGGTAATGGGGCTCATGGGCACAGGTACTCATCTGATGCCTAATTAAGCCATCTTGGTAAATCATCTCTAGAATGCCTGTTATTATTTTAGGAAACAACATAAAGAGAATGATAATTAAAAGTAACACCCTGGGTGGGAATTTTTACTTCATTCCAGCAGTTGGCAAGTAGAGCACCTTGGGACTTTTTTTTTTAGGTACCATTTCTATCAATTTTCATAGATCACACAACTTCAAAGCCTGGGTGTATTTTTTTCCCCCTTCCCTCTGTCGCTGCTTTGAGTTTGTGGCTTTATTCTTCTGCTGCTTTTCTCTTTGCCTTTCCACCGGAGGTTTTCTGATTTTACTCTGACTTGCAGTGGGGGAGGGTATGGCTTCAGGATATTGCATACAATGCTGAACCCAGTCTGGGTCGTTTGCAGGTGAAAAGGCAATTTTCCGCTTCACAGGTAGGCCCACAGGAGGCATTTTCATGACCCGGGTATTTTTCTGTCTTAGAACCCATCAGGACAGCCTCTGGGGATTTGCTGTCCATCACCCGCTTTCTCTCTGCAGCCCCCACCCACCCCCCACCCCAGCTCTGCACATGACCGCAATACTCCTGTCTTCAGGGCCTTTGGCAGTCCGTTTCTCACACCCCTCACTGCCTCCCTGGAGCCCACCGTGGTTGATGGTGGCTGCTTCCATGGTAATACTCATCCAGCTGTGGACGACCCCACAGCCTGCCCTCCTCTTCCTGCCCTCTCTTCCTCCACTCGCTGCTTGTCCAGAGTGGTTTTCGACACCAGTCCCTCCTGTTAGCTCACTCAGGCAGCTGTTGGAACAGGCAGACTCCCATCCCCATACTAAGCAAACCTGCTCCCGCCTCTCTTCCTCACTTTCTGTAACTCTGACCCCGAGGGTGGGGCCACCAATCACCAGGAATGCGAGTTGTTTCCTGGGGGCGCTCTGGGCCTCGGACCAGGGACATCCACTTGGCTTAAGCTGCAAAGTCCACACCAATTTCTCTGAGTAGTTCCAGCTCTCATTTCTCTCCCATCAGCATCCTCACCGGTCCCACCGATCGCTGCTCCTCTCCACCTGGATGCCCCACAGCCACCTTAACCTCCCGTGTTTCTGAGCCCATCCCATAGCTCTCCCCAGCTGCTCCTCCTCTGTGCCAGCCCCTGCACTTCCCCTCTTGATGACTCAGTATCTCCATCTCTGCTCCCCACCCCCACCCCAGGAGCCATCCGTCTTCCTGCCGCCTTGTCCACTACGTTCAAGTCAGGCCTCCTAATCTTTACCTCCTAAATTTCACAAAACTATGTTCTGCCATCTGGCCCATGGATAGGTCCCCCTTCCCTCCCACATGGTCTGTTAAAGCAGCCGCTTGACTGTCGCTGTCTCCAGCCAGCCCCCACCTCAACAGTTGCCTTGGAGGTACTTCTAAAGCACCAACCTTGCTTCAAAGCCCTCACGATCTAAAGATAAAATCCTGGCTCCTTAGCATGGCACAGAAGCCAGTTTTGACTGTACACAACCGCAGGGCTGGCCAAGCAGAGTGCCTTGGGTGCAAAATCTAAGCACACATTGTCAGATGGAGGCCTCGCACATGCACAGCCCTGAGAGTGAATGCTACCTTCAGTGTGGTGTCCTAGGCCCCACCCTACCCAGCTGCCTTTCCGGCTTCTGAGTGACAGGCCGCCCCTTCTGTGCGCTGGCCCTCTCACTCTCCTTCTTGCTAGATCCTCATAGCCCAGCAAGACCGTGAGAAGGCCTCCTCCCGCCCTTGGCTCTCTTCTCCCCTAACCCCACCAGCATGTTCTCCACCACTGCCCTACTCCCTGAGCGTCACAAATGCAAAGATAGTGTTCTGTCTCCTTTCTACGTAGAGCCAGGTCTCAGGCAGCATGCTGCAATCAGTAGGTGCTCTATACATGTATTCAAAACCGAAAGCAAGGGCTGGCATTGAGGCGCAGCATCGGCATCCTATAGGGGCATTCTGGTTCATGTCCTGGCTGTTTGCAAGTGATTCAGCTTCCTGCTAGTGCACCTGAGAGAGCAACAGAAGACTGCCCAAATACCCGAGTCCCTGCTACCCAGGTGGGAGACCTGGATGGAGTTCCAGGCTCCTGGCTTCTGCCTGACCCAGCCATGATGGCTGTGGCCTCTTGGGGGGTGAACTAGTGCATCAAAGATCAAAGATCTCTCTCTCTTTCTCTCTGTCTCTTCCTCTGTGTGTGTGTGTGTGTGTGTGTCATAATGCCATTTAAAAAAAAAATCTTTAAAAAAAAAAGCCAAAAGAACTGAAAGCAAGTCTGCTCTGGGAAGTCACTTAGCCTCGGGCCCAAAGTTCAAAGCCCACAGTTAACACGCACCCTTCAGATGGGTGACCTCTGAGGACTGCCGCGCACCAGGAATGAATTAGAACCTGCTTCTGTGCAGGCCCGAGATGGGGAGAGGGAATGTGTGTGTGTGAAACATCAGCTCTCCAAGGGTGGTGGTCAGAGTGCCAGCAAATAACTCCCCTTCTGACAAATTCACTTGCTGTTAGCCTGCAGTTTTCACAGAGATTGCACACTGCTTGGCCAACTGCTAAGTTCTGAGCTTTCTTCCTGCCAAATTTCTCCCATGCTGGCTCATGCTTGCCCATCTTGTAGCCGTGATGCGTCTTCTAGCAGGGAACATGAATAGCTTTGGGTCCATTTTATAAAAGGGATTCAGTAATGCACCACCTTGAAGGATACTATTGCTACTAGGAGAGGAGAGGCCCCTGGAGTTCTTAAATTGAACCTCCCAGGACACTATCTAGGAAGAACCTGTTATATAACATCCCATAAGGCCTCGTGTCACAAGTTTAATTCAAGTGCTTTCTTCTATTTTCATTTATTATTTCTCCTTCTCCATCCTCTTACATTTGAAAAGCAGAGAGCGAGGGAGGCAAGTGAAGATCTTCCATCTGCTGGTTAATTCCCCAAATGCCTGCGACACCCAGGCTGAGTCAGGGTGAAGTCGGAAGCCTATGTCTGAATCCTGAATGAACCAAAGATTGGCGGACATTTGAAGGCCATTTCATTCGCTGGACCAAGCAGACACAGAAAAGCTGGCCAAGCAACCCCCAGTCCTGCACGGCTATGGTTCCCCCGGGTAGCGCTGAGGGATGTTGCTTTTCTGGGTTGCCATCTTTCTCCACTAGCTAGCCTTCTGCAGCTCCTTTCCATAAACCCAATGGGAACGAACTAGCAAGAGACCCAAACCAAACCTGACCCATCCCGGGGACCACTGAAAGGAAAACACAGTATTGCTATTCCCAACAGCCAAATCACACAGGGTTCTACGTGGAATCCAGCTCACGAACCCCTCAAAGTTGTCCTCATCTGCCCAGATGTATGAGTGTGCTCGTTAAGAACACTGGAATTGGGGCCGGCGCTGTGGCTCAATAGGCTAATCCTCCACCTAGCGGCGCCAGCACCCCGGGTTCTAGTCCCAGTCTGGGGACCGGATTCTGTCCCGGTTGCCCCCATCCAGGCCAGCTCTCTGCTATGGCCCGGGAGTGCAGTGGAGGATGGCCCAAGTGCTTGGGCCCTGCACCCCATGGGAGACCAGGAGAAGCACCTGGCTCCTGCCTTCGGATCAGTGCGGTGCACTGGCCGCAGCGCGCCGGCCATTGGAGGGTGAACCAATGGCAAAGGAAGACCTTTCTCTCTGTATCTCTCTCTCACTGTCCACTCTGCCTGTCAAAACAAACAAAAAAACAAACAAACAAAAAAAACCACTGGAGTTGAAATTCTCTGTGGTGTGTGAGTAGGAGCATTAGAAATGGACAAGACCTCAGGGTTCAAATAAAAGAACCTTCATCGAATCAGGTTTTACAGATTAGGTTGATGAGGCTCAGAGGATTAGAGCTGAGACCCGTATCCTGGATTTCTGAATCCTAGTTTTCACATGGTATGACATTACCATATACTGCATTTCAAACGAATGTGTTGAAGTGGGGAGAGTGGATACTGGCTGTGGGGGAAAGGAAGCGGTAGCTAGTTTTAGAATATACACATTAGGTACTTAGCGCTTGGTTTCATTTCTGTGTTTAGCATGGTTTTCTAGCTTCAACCCAAAGAGACCAAGCCTGAAGCACACCCCCTCCCGCCAGGGGCTCTGTATGTTGAGTCTACAAGTCTAGAGAGATCATGTGGACGACATGTGGAGGAGCACGGGATGAGCTCTAAATGGCTTATGTCATTACAAAACCACTTGTCACAGAAACCCAATTGTTTCCAGGAAGTGGGGGAAAGATTTCCAAGCAGAAAATATGAGTCTTGAAGGAAGAGTAGGGGTTTGTGCCACGAAGAAGGGGGTGGGCTGAATGAGGGAAGGTACAGAAACCCAGTGGAGATGAGTGAGGCTTGGTAAGAGATGGGCAGCTGGTGTCTGGTCTGGGAGCCATGCAGGAGGCTTTTAAAGCTGGAATAAAGAGAGATTTGCATTTGGGATGGATACCTTTAGTGACCAGATGGAAACCAGATCTTAAGCGATGTTCTTTTTTTGTTGTTTTGTTTTTCAGGCTCCAGAATGATCATTCATTCAATCCTTGATCCCAACTTGGGAAACTCATAACTCAAGTCAGGCACTGATCCAGACATGAAATGTGGCCTTGCCCAGGACAGTGGCCATGGAGTCCCATGATCAAGTCGCCCAGTGCAGAGACAGATGTGAGCAGCTCCTAGGAGGTCAGAATCAGCAGGACCTGATGGACTAATGATGTGGGCAAGGTAGAAAGGAAGGTGGAAGCATATCAATGGGTGGTTGGAACAAACAGGTGTCTAGGATCTCAGGGATCTTCTGTCTGGAGCTCCAGAAAGACTAAAATCCAAATATTCAAATATGACGGCCAAAATGGCCTTTATTTACAGTACCCTGGAACCTGGAGACGACTTCGGAATTTGTCATTTCTCCAGGGCAGATACTGACCTGCCCCCAGAGAAGTAATTATATCATCCGCCACATTGCAGGTTGAACTGAGAGAGGTTGAAATGAAATACGAAAGTCTTGCTGGGCCTCTCTCTGCAACCTCGTGGTCAGCCTTTCCTACCAGCATTCTAATTTTATCGAAATGGGGTTGCTTTCATGTAATTTGAGTGTGAGCTTTCAGAAATGGAGTATGGCAAGAACAGCAGGTGAACACAGATGGGCTGAGGGACTGAGCGGATTGGTTCAATTTTGATAAAAACGAAAGGTGTCTTTTCTCAAGGAAAAGGGCAGGAGGGGATTCTACGAATGCTACGGTAGAGGCAAAGCATTCCTTTTTTGCTTTGTTAATTCCTTGGGTAATTCCTTGTCTACTATTACTACCACAGAAGGAGAAACAAACTTAAAAGAAAACAAAGTGATGTGCCGTAACGTCTTAAAGCCACGACTTCAGTGCTGCAAGGCATGCTGTGCAGGGCAGTGTTGTGCCAGGCAGGCGCCCAGCCCTGCCCTCCTACTCTCAGGGCTATGCGAGGTCAAAAGGTGAAATGCAGAGTTTGCAACCCCGGCAAAGAATTCACCCCTGGAGAAACAGAAGGGTTAGGTTTTCTCGTGTGCAAACAGTCAGCTGGCTTGGTAGCTACGCAAGGCACCAGGGCCCAGTTTTCTTGTTCTCCTGTGGCCACAGAGCACTTAAATTAGGTCTGATGTGGTGGCACAGGGATCTGTCACTGAGGTGTTCTCCGTCTCTGGACATCTGTTACCTACCCGCCCGTCCTGTTAAAAGGGTTGTAGGAGTTCCACCTCCGGGAGAGCCCTGACAACAAGAAAACCACTCCATCGAGCCTTAAGGTGTCTCTCTGAGAGGGTGCTCGTATCCTACGAAGGAGCAAATGCTTTATGGGTGACAAATGTTATTTTATAAAAAATAGCTAAAAACAGCTGATCTGAGGAAGCAGAGCTAAGCGAATCAGAGTCACATGAACGCATCCCGACCGCTCAGCCGCTTTGAAACCTTTGCTGTGGCTCCTGCGGGGTAACAAGAGCCTGCAGCAGCTCTGTTTCCCACTTCTGCGGGCACCGCCTGCCCCAGCACAGCCAACAGGCACCCGGGAGCAGCGACTGTGTGCTCAAAACACCCACAGGACTCCCAGAATTTCACCCGGAGTAGTTTTCGAAGCTGGATGATGGATTCTATTCTTTTATTTAAAAGATCCTTCTTTTTTGTTTTTCCCCAGGCAGAAGAGCAAAGATGCAGGAGTCTGCCAGCTTAACACACAAGGGATCTTATTTGCCCATGTTTGGAGCCTTCCAGGGCCGACAAGGTGGTGGGGGACTTCCAAGGGGCAGACGCGGATGACTTTAAATGACTTGAATGGGCTCCCTGGAAGGCTGCGGCCCCCCTACACTCGCTGAGGCTTTTCCGCTGGGCGTGGGGAAAAGGCCAGCCTTTGACTATTTAGGAAAGCAGAAGAAGCCGGAGGGGGAAGCAGCCACATAGGACAGGCTGTTGTTTTCCACGCTTTATTGGCGGAAAGGGCTGAGGCCATCTTATATGTCCCCAGAAACTGTCAACAGGAAGACGAACAGGAGCAAAACAGGCGTGCAAGGCGCCTGGAGGCTTGTGGGTCCTGCTAGAGCAGAGGGCTACGCGGAGGCTGTACGTTTCAGGTAGGGGGAGGTTCATCACATTGACCTTGATTTGGCTCCGGGGAATGGCGGGCCATGGAATCCCCGTCCCTTCCATGTGATAATGCCAGGTCAGTGGGCAGGGGACAAACAAAGAGAGGCCAGGACTCCGTCCCTCCCGAAACACACAAGGGGAGAACGGTCCTCTCTTACGGAGCACCCGGCCACAGTTACTGTAAAATAAAAGGTGTCACCTTCTCATGATGATGGGTTTTCCCATGGCCTGAAAAATTATTTACTTGTGTCTGTAACCAGGGTGAAAAACACCCCCAAAGTTTAGATCTGTGTCAGCATTCCCTTCAAGAATAGCTCAGCTTAGAGCTTTTATGAAGGGCAAACAACAGAGTTGAAAAACAAATACAAATCCACAGCTACAGAAGGAGGAGGGGAGGGAGAGACCTTTCAAACCTGTCTGTTTCACACACAGACAGAATCTTAGAGGCACCCCTACAGGACTTGGCTGAAGTCAAGAGCAGGCTGATCAAAGGAAGCTGCAGAAATTATAATCCATCAAATTAGACACCTGTGACAAACCCACAGAGAATGCAAGGAATGTTTGGGGCGGGCATTTGGCCCGGTGGTTATGAGGTTGCTTGGAACGCACGCAGCCCCTGTGTGCGGTGGGTCCCAGCCCTGACGTTACTCCTGATCCAGCTTCCTGCTAATGTGTGCCCTGGGAAGCCGCAGTTGGTGGCTCAGGACGCAGACACCTGGATTGAGTTCTCAGTTCTTGGCTTTGGCCTGACTCAGCCCTGGCTGTTGCAGACATTTGGAGAGTGAACCAGCAGATGGAAGATCTCTCTTGTCTCTTTCTCTGCCTCTCAAATAATAAAAAAAAAAATTTTTTTTAAAGATTTCAAGGGATGTCAACAATATGATAAAAGGCCTCATGGTTAAAGTGTTACCCTTAACTTTTCCCAAATCCATCACAAATTCTCCCACTTGAGCCACTTTTTCAGACCTGGTGGCCCTGGGCACAGTTAGAGTTCTTGGTGCTAGGTTTCTTTTCTGCTATAATGATGTTAAGAGATACTTTTTTCTCCAAGCACAATTAATGAGAATTTTTATGACCCTAGGAAAAAGAATTTAAAAAACAAACACTCAAACAAGGACTTGGGGTAGAAGACAGAGATCTGTGATGGTTAACAAAATAACTGATCTGTGGAGTAAAAGCCATTCACATAAAGGGATCAGAGTTGTTAATACAGTAGGTTGTTTTGTTTTGTTTTCTGAGGGCTTTTCCACAGCCAAACGCAACCCCAGGGAATGCCAGGGAGAGCAGGAGGGTCTCGAACAAACCCATTACCTGGCTTCTCCGTTGGCTACTTTGAAGCATCTCACTCCAGATGACTGAAAGCTGCCCTGTATGTGGCAATGCTCTCCTTTGACAATGCTGTGGATTTTCTACCTGGCATCTTTAACAGAGACAACCAGCACACACCCTTAAAGAACGTGAACTTTTCACATCACTTGGTCATAACAAGGTTTTGCAGATTAGAAAACCAAGAACCAGAGAGATAAGGGACGTGTCATTGAACCCCACGTGTTGCAGCAGAGCAGTGACTTCTGAGGTTACTGCGCGCGGTGAACAATTCTGTGCTTCTGGCTGACTGGAGTTATTCCTTCCCTCATTCCCTTCCTTGTCAAGTTGACAGACACTTTAAGTTCACGCTCTTTAATCTCAGGAAAAATCCCCCTACTCACAGCCTCCCCCCCACCCCCAATATAATTTAAACAAATATGGTTTTGTTTGCTTTGCAGCCTGGAATGTTTTTTACTCCAGAAGCAAATGTAGCTTTTCCCAGAGGGCCAGTCTTGCTGCTTCCCACACTGTTCAGGCTTCTTTTTTTTTTTTAATCCAGAACACCTTTCTCCTCTGCTGCCTGGCAGACTTCCATTTGCCCTCCCAGGTTTTATTTAACTCTCAATTTCCTCTATCCGGGAGCCTCCAGCAGTGCTGCCCTGTGTGTCAGCTTGCTAGTTCTATCAATCCTGGCATTTTCCTAGTTAATGGTTAAGATCCTGGCTGATTCAACCACAGCACAGTCAGCTCCCGGGGAGTCCCAGCAGCACAGGGGAGCCATTTCTGAATCTGGGGTCTCCAAAGGAAGCCACTTGCTCGTGGGCTTCTGGTCAACATTAAGATCAGATGAAATCTGGGCTCCTAGAGATTTGTACTTGGCTGCAGTGGTACCGCCATGTGAATTCTTACATCACTGAACTGCAAAGTAGCGGTTACCACCATTTTTTTTTTTTTTTTGGAGGAAGTTTCAAAGAATTATACAATCAGCTTGTTTCTTAAGCGCTTCTGAGAAAAGAGGAAGAAAAAAAAAAACCACTATGAGATCTGTCTGTCATTGGGCAAACAGAGATAACATGCAACACTGGCTAATATATGGACAGGTAGAAAAAGTATGCATTTTTCATGAGTTCTGAAGTTACTGCAACTTATTTACTTGCATGATAGGATTCTAACAGATTTGCAGCCACAAAGCCACAGCACTAGCCCTGATATTTATTTTTTAAAAAAGTTTTAGGGTGCTGGTGCTGTGGCTTACTGGGTAAAGCCGCCGCCTGCAGTGCCAGCACCCCATATGGGTGCCAGTTCTAGTCCTGGCTGCTCCACTTCCGATCCAGCTCTCTGCTATGGCCTGGGAAAGCGGTAGAAAATGGCCCAAGTCCTTGGGCCCCTGCACCTTCATGGGAGACTCAGAAGAAGCTCCTGGCTTCTGGCTCCTGGCTCTGAATCGGCTCAGCTCTGGCTGTTGTAGCCATCTGGGGAGTGAACCAGCAGATAGAAGATCTCTCTCTCTCTCTCTCTCTCTCTCTGTGCCTCTGCCTCTCTGTAACTCCGCCTTTCAAATAAATAAATAAATCTAAAAAAAAAAAAAAAAAAGAAGAAGAATGTCCTCAACTGGGTTCATGTGATGTTGTCTCCTGATCACAGTGAGGTTGTGCGTCTTTGACCAGCACGTCACGCTTTCTCAGAGTCTCATACTCAGACTGGGAGGCTGTGGTGTCAATACATCTTATTACTGGTGACATTAAGTTTTGATGACTTGGTTTACACAGTGCCCTTGGCTTTCATTTGCTCATATTCTACCACATTAAGCTATTTTAAAATTCATTTACTTATTTGAAAGGCATAGAGAGAACTTGCTTCCATCTGCTGGTTTACTTCCCCAAATGCTTGCAACAGTTGGGGCTGGGCCAGGCCAAAACCAGGAGCCCAGAACTCAATCTGGGTCTTCCATGTGGGTGGCAGGACCCAACTACTTGAGCCATCATCACTGCCTCCCACGGTGTGCTTTAGCATGAAGCCAGAATCAGGAGCCTCCTGTGTGGATGGAGTATCCCAAGAGGCATCTTAATCACTCTGCAAAAGCCCACTCCCATTCTTTCATTTACTCGAGATACTGACATGCCACAGCATTCCTCCTTAACTTTAAAGTTTGTAATTTAGTGCATTTACAAGGTTTTGTGGCCCTCACCACCATTTAATCCTAGAATCTTTTCATCACCCAAAAAAAGAAATCTTGTCTTTATTATCACTCATTAACTTCCGTCCCCAGCTCCTGGAAACCCACTAATCTACTTTTTTCTCCATATGCCTTTGCCCCTGTGAACCAGGTTCTTCTCATCCCAAATAATAATAAACAAGATGATCTCAATCCAGTTAAACAAGGACATACACACACAGCCTATACATAGGGAAATAGTTTTAGACAAATGTAGTTTTCAGTGTTCCTCAAACCATCAGCTCTGTATACCCATAAAAAAATTTAAATTCACCAACCTGTAGGAATAAGGGTTTCATTCACTGGCAAAAAAGCATCAGCATCTATAGTAACTTCATGGTCATATATATTTGGGGAACCCTGGCAGGGAAAGGTAGGAGAAAGAAGAGTTAGTGTTTTGCCTTATTTCATACATTTGCTTCTTTTGAAAATATTTTCAGGCATTGACAAAAACTTTAGAACTTTCCTTTGACCAATGTCAATGGTGACAACTAAATATGATCCTTTAAGTGTAGGTAGACAGGGCCTCCAAATAGCAACTGGAAGAAGCTGTTCAGTATGACCCTAACATGCTTTATTTCATTTTTTCCTACATGGAAAATGATGGTCAAAAGTCAAAGAAACTGGGGCAGGTGTTATGGTGTTATAGGTTAGGCAGCCACTTGGGAGGCCCACATCGCATGTCAGAGTGCCAGTTTGAGTCTAGACTGTTCTGCTTCTGATATAGCCTCCTGATGACGCATAATGAGAGCCAGCAGATGATGGTCCAAGTGTTTTCATTCCTGCTACCCACGTGGGAGACCTGGATGGAGTTCTGGGCGCCTGGCTTCATCCTAGCCCAGATCCAGCTGTCGTGGGCATTTGGGGAGTGAACCAGTGGATGGAAGATCTCTCTATGTATACCTCTCCCTTTTCGCTGCCTATCAAGTGGATGAAAATAAACACTGAAAAAAGTCATGGAAATCACAATGGTTTGAAAGTCTTTAGATCTTGGCTTGTGGGAGTTTCTTCCACTCTCCTCAGATGAAGGCATTTTAAAAAGTTTGAAGAAAATGGAATTGTAAGTATGACTTTTGCCGGCGCCGCGGCTCACTAGACTAATCCTCCACCTAGTGGCGCCGGCACACCGGGTTCTAGTCCCGGTCGGGGCGCCGGATTCTGTCCCGGTTGCCCCTCTTCCAGGCCAGCTCTCTGCTGTGGCCAGGGAGTGCAGTGGAGGATGGCCCAAGTGCTTGGGCCCTGCACCCGCATGGGAGACCAGGAGAAGCACCTGGCTCCTGCCTTCGGATCAGCGCGGTATGCCGGCCGCAGCACGCCGGCCGTGGCGGCCATTGGAGGGTGAACCAACGGCAAAAGGAAGACCTTTCTCTCTCTCTCTCTCTCTCTCTCACTATCCACTCTGTCTGTCAAAAAAGAAAAAAAAAAAAAGACTTTTGGGACCGGCACTGTGGCACAGCGGGTTAAAGCCTCAGCCTGAAGTGCCAGCATCCCATATGGGCAACAGTTCTAGTCCCAGCTGCTCCTCTTCTGATCCAGCTCTCTGCTATGGCCCAGGATAGCAGTAGAAGATGGCTCAAGTCCTTGGGCCCCTGCACCCATGTGGGAGACCCAGAAAAACCTCTTGGCTCCTGGCTTCGGATCGGCGCAGCTCTGGCCGTTGCAGCCATCTGGGGAGTGAACCAGTGGATAGAAGACCTCTCTCTCTGTCTCTACCTCTCTCTGTAACTCTGTCTTTCAAATAAATAAAATAAATCTTAAAAAAAAAAAAAAGTATGACTTTGTTTTGGTGTGAAAAATTTTTTGAAATGCATGAGGTTTTTTCATAATACACATTTTCCATGTATTATGAAAACAATTTTTGGCACCAAAATAAACTCATATTTTTAAAAATATTTATTTATTTGAAAGAGTGACAGAGGGGCTGGTGCTGTGGTGTAGCAGGTAAAACTGCTGCTTGCAGTGCCGTCATCCCATATGGGCACCGGTTCAAGACCTGGCTGCTCCACTTCCGATCCAGCTCTCTGCTATGGCCTGGGAAAGCAGTGGAAGATAGCCCAGACCCCCTGCATCCACCTGGGAGACCCAGAGGAAGCTCTTGGCTCCTGGCTTCAGATCGGCACAGCTCTGGCCATTGTGGCCAATTGAACTAGTGGATGGAAGACCTCTCTGCCTCTCCTTCTCTCTCTGTGTATCTCTGACTTTTAAATAAATAAAAAAATCTTAAAACAATAGTAGTATACTTTAAAGCTTCATAGAAGGATACGGGGAAGGGGTAGCAAGGTGAGGACTGTGCTTAGTAAATGCTCCTGAACCAGCTAAGCGAGGGGTTCTCAGCTTACCCACAGGGGACATCTGACAATGTCTGGTGGTGGTGGTTGACACCCCGGCACCCAGTGGAAAGAGACCAGCAAGCTACTAAAAACCCCCTCTGATGCACAGCACGGCGATCCACCCTGCCACACTGAGGGGTCTTCTGGCTCGAAATGTCTACAGTGCCAAGGGTGGGAAGCCCTGAGCGCAGCTGAGCTGAAGCCTCTGCGGGGCCCCCTGGAGGAAGCAGACAGAGGCAGAGAGAGCTGCAGGCCAGCTGGAAACAGAGGCCGGGTTCAGACACCCCACGATTCCATGTCTAAACACAGTAGAAACTGCACTACTTGGAGGCTCCTCTACCAAAGAATGGATTCGCTCGTATTCTTCCGGGGATAGGAGCAGGCGGGGGAGGCGGCCAGGCCAGAGGTCTCCCTTCCGCCCACACTCCCTATCTTAGCTGCTTGCCTGGTCCTAGTTCTGAGCTGGGAAGGCAGGTCCAAAATGGGAGGGGGTCTGCACCAGGGTCCACAGCAGCTCTGGACCAAAGGGGTCTCTCTCCTGTGTGGCGCTTTCTACGGCCATCTTCTGTGACTTCGGGTTGTCCTGGAAGTGAGGGTCTCTTTGGGCCCTAGGGGAACAGAGCTGAGGGAAGAGAACATGAGGCTATTTCCCAGGATTTATCTGTTCAAGTTCAGCTCAACATGGAAGTTTCTGGTCAGTGGAGGCAGGGGTATGGAAGGCTGGGTACAAAGCCTTGGAGGTATTACACTGGGAGCTGCAGCTCCCAGGAAGTCCTCCAAACTCCCTGTGCACAACTGAGACTGGAGGGACGCACGCTCGCTGAGTCACTGAGTGAGGGGAGAAGGCTCGGGCCCTGTCTGGACTCGTGGCCTAGTGCTGATGGCCAGCTCTTCACTGTCGGCTCAGGTGCCTGCCTCCTTCCTCCCTCCTTTACGTTTTGAAATCAATACCTATTTACAACCAGAACACTGCTCTGATCTCTGTTGCTACAGATTAGTTCTGCTCGTTCCAGAGCTTCACACAGACAGGACTGTCGAGTTTATATTCTTTGGTCCCTAAGTGCTTCAACACTATGCACCACTGCATCAGTAATTTGTCCCTTTTTCTTGTTAAGTACTATTCCATTGCTTATCAAGATTTGCTTATTGATCCTCCTGATGATGGACTTTTGGGTTGTTTTTACTGCTTTACTTTTTTTTTTTTTTTTAACAGGCAGAGTGGACAGTAAGAGAGACAGAGAGAAAGGTCTTCCTTTGCCGTTGGTTCACCCTCCAATGGCCGCCGTGGCCAGCGCGCTGCGGCCGGCGCACCGCGCTGATCCGAAGGCAGGAGCCAGGTGCTTCTCCTGGTCTCCCATGTGGGTGCAGGACCCAAGCACTTGGGCCATCCTCCACTGCACTCCCTGGCCACAGCAGAGAGCTGGCCTGGAAGAGGGGCAACCGGGACAGAATCCGACGCCCTGACTGGGACTAGAACGTAGTGTGCCGGCGCCGCTAGGTGGAGGATTAGCCTAGTGAGCCGCGGCGCCAGCCTTTACTGCTTTACTATTACGAATAAAGCTGCTTAGGAATTTCCTTTTTCTTTCCTTTCTTTCCTTCCTTTCCTTTTCCTTCCTTCCTTCCTTCCTTCCTTCCTTCCTTCCTTCCTTCCTTCCTTCCTTCCTTCCTTCCTTCTTCTTCTTCTTCTTTTTTTTTTTTTTTGCCAAGGACAGGAAGAAAATGAACCTACATGAATATCACACACCAAATAAATTGATGAATGTGAGATGTTAGGAAGAAGCCTGGCAGGGGAAGGAAAAGAATATTTATCAGGTACCTGCTCCCCTAGTGGTCACGGGCTCCCGAAACAGCACTAACATTCCTAACGTGCTGGGCCTGCTGGTTACGATGCCTGCATCCTGTATCCCAGGACTTGGGTTTAAGAACCCACTCCAGCTCTCAACCCCAGCTTCCTGCTAACGGGCACCCTGGGAGGCAGCAGGTGATGGCTCGGCTTACTGAGTCCTTGTCCCTCACGTGGGAGCTCCCGGCTCCCGGCTTTCGCTCCAGCCCACCTCCTGCACTTTTGGGCATTTGGGCAGATGGGAATCTCTCTCTCTTTCTCTGCCACTCAAATTAATTAATTAATTTAAAAAGAAGCATGCCTTGTCTTATGAATGCTCTGGTCTGGAAAAAGCTCCTGGTCTGTGGTGGAATTTTCCTGTTGGATTCATTTCCTTTCAGTGCTGATGAATCACAGCAAACCTTGAGGCTCCCTCCGAATCCGGGCTTTGGTTAACTTGGCTTGACTGCTACTAGCTTGCGACACGAACCTTACAGCGTCCATTATGACTTGCATGAGGCTTTAAGCACATGTTTGTGCACTGCTGCTACCGCTGGCTTCGTTCGGCTCTCACCACCTCTAGCAGGAAGCAACAGGCACTCTTGGCTGCAAAGCCACAGCAGCTCCTTAACCTGCACCTTCCCACTGTCCTGGCGGAAGCTGACTTGCCGAGTTCTACCCCAGACTATGTATTTCCCATCCCCAGAGGGTAAATTTTGATTGGTCTAATCCCTGTGCTGGCGACCAGGATTGGCAGACTCCAGACAAAGGAATGTGTCAGAAAGTCTGATGGGGGCCCTCTGAGATGAGAGCCTTCTAGAAAAAGTTTTGCTTTTTTTTTTTTTAAAAAAGGAAACTTTAGAGATATGAAAAAAGGAATAGGTTCTTTTTGTCCTTGGATACGACCGTATAAGGAAGTGGCAACCATCTTGTGACCAAGAGGGGATGAGCTTGAAAACAATCCAAAACACTGCGGAAGGAGAATGAGAAGATGGAAGAACCTGGGTTCTTGATGACTTGTCTACCCAGTCATACCAGAACCACAGCGGCTGCTTCTCATCTCAAATTCCCCCAGACCTTGCTTTCATAGCTCTTGAGGTGAAATTTCAATAAAAGACATGTTCTCCCAGAGCTGTGTTGCTCATAGGAAGGCACAGAAAAACAAAACAAAATAAAAGCTCTGCAACTTACACATCTTTTCCATTCTTTGAAAAACACAATTCTCCCCTCCCTGTAGGCCTCCAACACTCAGATATGATAAGCCAGTGCTTGGGCCCCATGTAGAACAAAAATATGGCATGTTCAATTTAAAACAAACAATAAATGAAACATAAGATGCGCTGACTCCTTTAAAAATCAGGGTTTGAGACAGATGATAATGCTCTCCAGGTTAAGGCAAGAGATGTTCTCAAGATGCACCCTTGACCCCAGGCCCAGCCAGCTTCACCCCTGATGCAGGTGCTGTGGATTTGAGCACCCACAGCATCCGGAAGGGAGCACACGCTGACCACCCTCTGGGTGGGGGTCTGTGATCCCGGAAACTATCCAGCCTCTGGGAAGAGACTCAGAAATCCCTGTCCCTCCTGGAAAGTCAGAAGGGCAGTCAATGGGAATGGCCTTAGCAAACCTTACTTTCCCAGATACCTTCTTCAATGGAACACACCTGCAGTTAGGATCGTTCATACACTCTTTCGCTTTCTTTTTCTTTTTTTTGAATGTATTTATTTGAGAGGGAGAAAGCAATATAGACAGAGAGAGAGAGAGAACTTCCGTCTGCTGGTTCAATCCTCAAATGCCTGCCACAGCTAAGGCCGGGCCATGGCTGAAGCCAGGAACCAGAAACTCAATCCAAGCCTCCCACATGAATCACAGAAACCCAATGACTTGAGCCATCACGACTGCCTCCCAAGGTCTGCATCAGCAGGAGGCTGGAATCAGCAGCTGAGGCCAGGAAGCAAACCTAGCTACTCCAACAAGGGGCACAGGCATCCTAGCCACAAGGGTCAACGCCCACCCCCACTTTTTATTTCCCAACCTATTCCTCTGGATCTCCCTCCCATTGAAGAGTAGGATGCCCTACGTGTACAAAAATGTAGTAAATAGAGGAAAACCATCTACTACCTACTAAACCATCTACTACCTACTAAAAGCAATTATACTTTATTCTATTTCTGCCTGAACTTTTAAAAAATTAGTTATTTATTTTAATTTTTATCTAAAAGGCAGAGACAAACAGAAGACCCTCCATTGGCTGGTTCCCTCTCCAAATGCCTACAACAGCCAGGGCTGGACCAGGCTGAAGCCAGGAACCTGGAACTCCATCTGGGTCTCCCATGTGGGTAGCAGGGGCCTAAGTACTTGGGCCACCTCCCACTGCTTTTCCCAGAAACATAGCAGGGAGCTGGATCATACGCAGTGCAACCAGGACTCGAATCAGTGCTTCGATACGGGATGCCAGGGCCACAGGCAGTGGATTAACTTCCTGTGCCACAACGCCAGCCCCACCTTTCTTCCTTTTCAAGAGGGAATTTTGGAAATTACATAAGAATCAATAAACTCCACTATTTGAGAAAATTCTAGAGAAAAAATAGTCAGCAGATCACCAACAGACTCCTAAGTGCACAAGACTGCAAGATATTACTGGTTGAGTATAAACATCACCCTGTGGTGGGAAATCAGGCCAAGGTGATTAGAGTGACAATGCTGAGTCCTCAGATTAAGAGGAAATAATAGATACAGTCTACAGAATTTGGCCAAGTTTTTTCTTTTATCTCATGTGATGGTCTCGGTCAACACGCTAAACTGTTACTACTCGGAGGGAATGAGGAAGTTTAGAGGGAAGTTGCCAATGAGTCTATAGCACTTGTAGGTGGACATTTTAATGTCTTCCCCCTGGAGTTTATACCACGTTGAGTTAATTGTCATATCTTTACCAATGACTTCATAAAGTGCTTCCCACAGTGACTAACAAATAGTAGGTAGCCATTATTATGAAATGGACAGTATACCTATCAGTCTAGAAAACCCAGGTCTTCCAAATTGTGGTTCCATGTTCTTTCCACTGCACTGTGCAGGACAAGACTGGGCGCCAGGAGCCCTGGGAGGAGCTGGGGGCTGCACTGTTGGAGCACACATGCCAGTGTCGCAACCTCAAGGGGGCAGCCAAATGCATTTCCAAAGATCCGAGAGCAGAAGGCCCCTTCATTGGAAGTCATTTGGGTGGGAGGAGGAACAGAACAAGGGAAGCAAACGTAAGCACATGTGACAAGCAGGGAGTCCTTGAAAGTGCTAGTTACTTGTCTAAAGCCCATGGGAAACAGATACTTGCCTTGGCCGTACGATGTACTCATCCTGTCTTTTTCTATAGCTTCCATTTATTGAGCACCTACTTAATCCCAGATGCTCTGCTGGGCCCTTTACATCATCATGCTGGTGATCTTATGCCGGGATAATTCCATACTGGGTTTCAACCACCTGCAACACCACCCCAAGTCATTCCACCAAGCACACAGGTGACAGCCCGAGAGCAGAAGTAAGTTCACTTACCTGGCCTGCCAGGTTGAAGTAAGAATGGTTGGTGAGATTGACCGGTGTGGTCTGACTGGCCTGTGCTCTGTAGTTGACCACAAGCTCCCCGCCATCCAAGGTGTATGTCACCCAGACTTTTAACTCTCCGGGGTAGCCTTCTTCACCATCTGCACTGACGCGGGAGAACTGGACACCATTTGGCAGAACTTGGGGGGTCCAGAGGACCTACAAAAAAATGTTTTCAAAGCTGCTTAGTCACTGCAATCCCAAGCTAAATGCTACATTTCAACACTGAAAGACAACTGATTTGGGGCCAGTGCTGTGGCAAAGCAGGTTAAAGCCCCAGCCTGTGGTGCTAGCATCCCATATGGGTGCTGGTTCAAATCCCAGCTGCTCCTCTTCTGATCCAGCTCCCTGCTAATGCGCCTGGGAAAGCAGAAGATGGCCCAGGTCCCCAGATGGCTGTTGTGGCAATTTGGGGAGTGAACCAGTGGATGAAAGACCTTTCTCTCTCTCTGCCTCTGCCTCTGTAATTCTTGCAAATGAATAAAATAAATCTTAAAAAAAAAAAAAAAGACAACTGATTCTAGAAAGAGAAATGGTTATATACTCATTGAGGCTTTTGTGTAATATTCTGGATATTAGTTTATCCTAAAATTTTGTTTTACACAGAAAAGAGACTTTTTTTAAAAAAGATTTATTTATTTATTTGGAAGTCAGAGTTACACAGAGAGAGAAGGAGAGGCAGAGAGAGAGGTGCTCCATCCGCTGGTTCACTCCCCAGTTAGGGGAATGAATTCCCCAGTTAGCTGGCCGCAATGGCCGGAGCTGCGCTGATCTGAAGCCAGGAGCCAGGAGCTTCTTCCAGGTCTCCCACGTGCGTGCAGGAGCCCAAGGACTTGGGCCATCTTCTGCTGCTTTCCCAGGCCCTAACAGAGAGCTGGATCAGAAGTGGAGCAGCTAGGTCTTGAACTGGCCCCCATGTGGGATTCGGGCACTACAGGCAGCGACTTTACCTGCTATGCCAGAACGCCAGCCCCAAAAACAGACTTTTGAAAGAAACTTTTTCTCTTTTTCTATTTACATTCCCTAATTACTTCCCTCTAGCTTTATGGGTACGTGTCTACAATATTTTCCTCTTTCCCTTCTTTATTTTCCTTTGATTTTTAAAATCTTGCATAAAATGTCTACAGTAATATTTGCTAATTTTTTTTAAACTTCAATAAATCTCCTGGGGGTATAACATACACAATTTTTTAAAAATATTTATCTATTCATTTGAAAGTCAAGAGTTACACAGAGAGAGAAGGAGAAGCAGAGAGAGAGAGAGAGAGAGAGAGAGCGCTCCTCCATCTGCCAGTTCACTCCCCAATTGGCCGCAATGGTCAGAGCTGCGCCAATCCAAAGCCAGGAGCCAGGAGCCTCCTCTAGGTCTCCCACTAGGGTGCAGGGGCCCAAGGATTCGCGCCATCTTCTACTGCTTTCCCAGGCCACAGCAGAGAGCTGGATTGTAAGGGGAGCAGCCGGGACTCAAACCAGCGCCCATACGGGATGCCAGCACCACAGGCAGCGGCCCTATCCGCTATGCCGCAGCGCCGGCCTCCACACATTTATTAAAAAAATAAATAAATAAATAAAGCCCACTCCAGTGTGTGTGTTTGGCAGAGTGGCTAAGGGGCTGCTTGAGACACCTGCATCCCACATAGGAGTTCCTGGTTTGAGTCCCAGTTACACCACTTGCAGTCCAGCTTCTTGCTACTGCGCACCATGGGAGGCAGGAGTTGATGGCTTGAGTACTTGGGTCCCTGCCTTCTATGTGGGAGACTCGGATTGAATTCCAGGCTCTTAGCTTTGGCCTGGCTATCGCAAGCATTTGGGGAGTGAATCAACGGACAGAAGATCTCTCACTGTGTGTTTTTGTCTCTGTGCCTTTCAAATAAAATGGAAATAAAGAAATTTAAACAACAACAACAACAACAAAACCCACCAAACACACCACAGTCTCTATTTTCCCTGGACAAAGTTCAAAATAAATAAAGTGCTTGTTCTGATTGAGAGAGTTTTAGCCCACCAATCAGGAGAACTGATTTGGAGGCCAGGTTTGTCCCTATCTCATTGTGTGACTTTGGGCATCTATCTCTTCCCTAAGATGAAGAAGGTAGAGAAAAATCATCTCAAGGAGCTGGTGCTGTAGCATAGTGGGTAAAGCTGTCACCTGCAGAGCTGGCATCCCATGTGGGCGCTGGTTCGAGTCTACTTCCAATCCACTTCCAATCTTCTATGGCCTGGGAAAGCAGTGGAGGATGGCCCAAGCCCTTGGGCCCCTGCACCCATGTGGGAGACCTGGAGGAAGCTCCTGGCTCCTGGCTTCAGATCAGTGCAGCTCCAGCCATTGTGGCCATCTGGAGAGTGAACCATCGGATGGAAGACCTCTCTCTCTCTCTCTGCCTCTCCTCTCTCTGTGTAACTCTGACTTTCAAATAAATAAATAAATATTAAAAAAATAAAATAAAATCATACATGTACCTAGTGGCAAAGCTGGGATTCAAACTCAGGGGTTGTTGTCTACACTATTCCATCTCTTAGTTTTATTGTAAGTTTTGGTCAGATCTCCATTTTTCTTTTTCTTTTCTTTCTTTCTTTCTTTCTTTCTTTCTTTCTTTCTTTCTTTCTTTCTTTTTTTTTTTTTACAGGAAGAGTTAGACAGTGAGAGACACAGAGAAAGGTCTTCCTTCCGTTGGTTCACCCCCCAAATGGCCGCTATGCTGATCCAAAGCCAGGAGCCAGGTGCTTCCTCCTGGTCTCCCATGGGGTGCAGGGCCCAAGTACTTGGGCCATCCTCCACTGCCTTCCTGGGGCACAGCAGAGAGCTGGACTGGAAGAGGGGCAACCGGGACAGAATCTGGCGCCCCGACCAGGACTAGAACCCGGGGTATCAGCACCGCAGGCGGAGGATTAGCCTAGTGAGCCGCGGCACCGGCCCCGATCTCCATTTTTCAACAGAACAGTTGAGGTCATACTTCATCATTCCTAACAGACTTGCAAGATAATAACCTGCAGGACGGACATCTGGCCAAGGGGTTAAGATGCCATTGTGGTGCTCTTGTCCCACGTGGGCATGTCTGGCTTGAGTCCCAGCGGGGGCTCCTGACTCTAGCTTCCTGTGGACTGAGGCAGGCAGACGTGGTGACTCACGTGGTTGGATTCCTGCCGCCCACATAGGAGACCTGGATTGAATTCCTAGCTCCCAGCTTTGGCCTGGCCCAGTTCTAGCCAGTGCAGATATCTGAAGAATGAACCAGCAGAGGACAGCTCTCTCTCTCAATTTATAAATAATAAACAAATAAAGATAATAACTTCCAGGAGCCACAGCAATGGCCTATTAGCCCAGGAGAATGGAAGTCTCTGTCTTTACCTACAATGAAAGGAGCTGGTATCTGAAACAAATTCAAAGAGCTTACTGAAAAATTAATTATACACCCTAATTATCCCCCAGAATGTTGAACTTGCAAGGCACTTAAAATATGAACCCTATTACATGTGTAATTAAACAAAACGTCCCTAAATGGAAAATTTTCAGAAGTAAACATTTGAAATAAAATGTTCTTCACTTGCTACCACTTTTTCTCCTTTAGAAAGGATGCAGTGGGGGGGCTGGCGCCGCGGCTCACTAGGCTAATCCTCCGCCTTGCGGCGCCAGCACACCGGGTTCTAGTCCCGGTCGGGGCACCGGATTCTGTCCCGGTTGCCCCTCTTCCAGGCCAGCTCTCTGCTGTGGCCTGGGAGTGCAGTGGAGGATGGCCCAAGTGCTTGGGCCCTGCACCCCATGGGAGACCAGGAGAAGCACCTGGCTCCTGCCCTTGGATCAGCGTGATGCGCCGGCTGCAGCGCGCTGGCAGCGGCGGCCATTGGAGGGTGAACCAACAGCAAAGGAAGACCTTTTTCTCTGTCTCTCTCTCTCACTGTCCACTCTGCCTGTCAAAAAAAAAAAAAAAAAAAAAAAAGAAAGGATGCAGTGATAACTGGTTAAGTATAATTCTTATTCACCAAAGGATTTACCCTGATCCCATAGTTTCCACAGTTCCAGAATTTTTGCATCTCTAGGCCTTCCTGTATCATTTCTAACCCTATCAAATTATTCTACTTTCATCATTTATAAAGGTGTCAATATGAATACACAATTATTCAATAATCATTAAGATCCAAAACAATGGGGCTAGCACTGTGGCGTAGTAGGTTAAGCCTCCGCCTGCAGCGCCAGCATCCCATGTGGGCACCCGTTCGTGTCTTGGCTGCTTTTCTTCTGATCCAGCTCTCTGCTATGGCCTGGGAAAGCAGTAGAGGATGGCCCAAGTCCTTGGGCCCTTGCACCCTAGTGGGAGACCTGGCTCCTGGCTTTGGATCGGCTCAGCTCTGGCTGTTGTGGTCATCTGGGAAGTAAACCAGCAGATGGAAGACTTCTCTCTCTGTCTCTCCTCTGTCTGTAACTCTACCTCTCAAATAAATAAATAAAATAATAATAATAAAAAAGACTCAACACAAGATAAAACAAAGGTCATCTGATGCTGCTAATACTACTGTTTCAAAACTTGCTGCTCAAAAAATTTCAATGGTTCCATAAAGATGTTCCGAGTCTTTCCCTATGCTTTCCCGGGCCATTGCACAGTCTCTCTCTCCCTCCCCTCCCCACCGATATCCATGGATTGAATGAAATAGCACCAATTCTTCAAGGACGGTTTGACTCTCACCTACTCGGTTGCTGTTCATTTGTCCGCTCCAAGTTCCTGAAGCATGCGGTTACCCTCTAAGTCATGGCGCCTGTTGTGGCCCTTCTATGACAGTTAATTATTTATAAAATCCACCTCCCTCACTGTACTGTGGCCTCAGAAATCTTGGGTCTATTATGCTCTCTGGTTCTCAGAAGGAGGCCAGTAGGATCAAAGGCTATCGCTACAGTTTGATTGTGTCTGCACAAAATTGCCTGTGTGGAAACTCAATTTCCGAATTCCTGTTAATGGATTTGGAGATGGGCCCCTGGGAGAGTAACTAGGATTAGATGAGGGCCTGAGGGTTAGGGCCCCCTGAAGGCATGGGTGACTGCCTACAAAGAGGACTGTCTCACCTCGTGATGCAGCAAGAAGGCCCTCACCCAATGCCAGCATCATGCTCTTGGATCGATCAGCCCACAGAACCGTGAACCAAATGAGCCTCTGTTTCTTACAGGTTACCTAGTCCATGCATTCGGGTGGAGCATCAGAAAGTGGACTCAGACATTTCTGCACTGTGTGACCGTTTTGTTCTGCTCATAAAGGGACCACATGCTGAGCAGCACCACAGAACACAGCACAGCGAGACCAATGGCGCAGGGACCAGAGACAAAAGGGTTCTGCTCTGGGATCTGCGGAGGATCCCTTCCCCATGGAGCCGGGCCCAACACGCTCTGGTTGAGGTTGGCCTAAGGTCCTAGCACGTCCTAAAGACTCTACCTTCACCTTACAGGCATGAGGAGTTCCATCGCTGAGAAAAGAGATTCCCACAGGGCATTCTGGTTCTAAGCCACAGACAGGAAGCTGGCAGGAGAGGGGAAACACAGCAACCAACTTTCTCCAACAGGACAGTGGCAGTGGTGGGGGAGGCAGAGGCAGAAAACAAGAAACTGTGGCCTTTAACTGCCAAACACATTCCTGTCTGCTCTGACTTCTCTAGCAAATAACCTGGATAGTGTATGGAAAGGAAAGTTAACTGGGACATTTTCTCCCTTACAACCTGCAATTGGACCAGTAAGAGTCGGTGCGGTTAACCTGCAGATTCCATGAAGCCAGAGGCCAGACAGTCCTACCTAAGGGAGAACTCGCCAACAGATTCGCTTTCTTGACCTTGTTCTCTAGGAGCTCACTTGGGTGATGGAAATGTTTAAGTGGAAAGGAGGGACTAGGGAGAGCCTCAGCTAGGATTTTTATTTTGTTTTAATAAGTTAGTTTAGTTGAAAGGGAGAATGACAGAGAGAAGCTTTCATCATCTGATTCACTCTGTAAATGGCTCCAACAGCCAAAGCCAGGAGCCAGGAACTCTACCTCAGCCTTCCATATGGGTGACAGGGGCCCGAGTACTCGCACCAATGTCTGCTGTCTCCCAGGCACATCAGCAGGCAGCTGGATCAGAAGTGGAGCTGCTTGACTTAAATTGGTGTTCCAATCTGCCAGCAAATGGCAACCTCTGTACCACAAATCCTGCCTGGAACTTGAGGTAATTTTGAGGCCTGGGGCACTTTAGTGGAAGGGTTGCCTGGGCACGGTGCCACACTGCATGGGGACAGGGCTTTGTGACAGGGACAGGGAGAGGTGTTGGACTGGGGGCACCATGGAAGCCTTGGAGGAGACCAGCGGTTGCGATTTGGGTATGAGAGTTTGGGACCAGGCAGAGCTGGCTTTTCCAGAGTTTCAGATGTCTCATTTGGTGACAGTTAGAGATGATACATCCAAACGCCTCGGACAGTCAGTAGTAGGTATTATTTTTAACCCAACTTTCTCTAACCCAAGTCCTGGATCCCAACCCTGTGAGAGAGAAAGTCATTCCTATCTTTTGAAACTAGGTTAAGGGCTGTTCTCTTTAACTCAGGGCTCCCCTGCCTGCGACTGTCAGACAAGGCAGGGAAGGAATGGTCTGGGAACATGGCCATGGCAACTGTTGCTGCCCTGAACCGAGACGCGGCCCTCTCCTGTGGCATCTTGCCATGCGTGTGCTCCAGGTCTTGGGACTGGAGCTGGCAAGCAAGGGGTGCCTGAGGCTGCTCTGGGAAGTGTGCCAGAAGGAAGTGTGGCCGCACTCACCTTATCAAAGCCTCGGAGTCCTCCATGCAGACTGTTGGGCCCGTTGTTGATGGCCAGGTGATACTCCTTCCCATCCAGCGTGAAGGTGCCGTTGGCAATTCGGTTGGCCACCCTCCCGACCACTGCTCCGAAGTACGGCTGCTTTTGCAGGTACCCTGCCAGGACAGGGGATGACAGCAGTTTTGAAAACGTCAAACCAAAGGTGGGGCTCACACTGCCACCCTCCCTGCCCTCCTTTTCCTCCGAGGGAAGCTGCAAGTACTAACAACTCGGGCACAGAAAGATGGTGTCTTATAAACGGGACCCTTTCCCTTCCCAAAGGTAATTCATGTTCATTACAAAAAGTTCTATGGAGGGGCCAGTGCTGTGGATGCCAGTTTGAATCCTGGCTGCTCCACTTCTAATCCAGTTCTCTGCTATGGCCTGGGAAAGCAGTAGAAGATGGTTCAAGTCCTTGGGCACCTGCGTGGGAGACCCAGAAGCAGCTCCTGGCTCCTGGCTTTGGATTGGTGCAGCTCCGGCCATGGGGGCTATCTGGGGAGTGAACCAGCAGATAGAAGACCTCTCTCTCTCTGCCTCTGCCTCTCTGTAACTTTGCGTTTCAAATACATAAAATAAATCTTTTTTTTTTTAAAAAAAGAAAGTTCTATGGCATTGCAGGTTGTAGCTATACCCGCTACTCCGCTCTGGCCCCCAGAAAGTTTTAAAGAACTTTATAAAGCCCAAAAAATATAAATCCTCCTTAATCTCATCATTAGAGAGAACAACTATTAATATTCTCATATCCATCCTCCCACGTTTTAGTGTATACATACATGAGTTTTTTTCTTTTTTAAAAATGTTGTGTCTCTTTTTTAATGTTTATCCATCTTTATTTATTTGAAAGGTAGGAGAGGGAGAGAGAGCGGGAGAGAGAGAGAGAGAGAGAAAGGGAATCTTCCATCCTAATGATTCACTCCCTAAATGCCCCCCAAGAGCCACAGCTGGGTTAGGCCAACAGAGGAGTCAGGAACTCCTTGGGTCTCCCCCATGGTGGCAGGGACTCAAGTACTGAAGACACTGTCTGCTGCCTCTCAGGCACATTAGCAGGAAGCTGTATCAGAAGGCAGAGGCAGGACCCTCTGACCCCAGGTGTTTTAACACAGGGAGCGCATATCCCAAACAGCAGCTGAACTGGCTGCACCCTAACCTGCTGTGCCATAATGCCTGCCCCTCCCCTCTTTTTTTCCTTTTTATTAAACTAGAACCTTGCCTTGTAACTATAACACTGCCTTGTAATCTGCTTTTTCCTAGGCCAACCAATCTTCTTTACTAAAAAATTATGCTTTTGTGTAGTCTTGAGAGGCAACTTTTTTTCTTTTTGAAAATTATACATGAAAATATTATTTAAAGACAGTTAAATAATAGATTAGGCTTGCTAGAGGAAATATAGAATACTCACTTAAATTTGAATTTTAGATAGAGAATGAGTAATTTCTTAGGATAAGGGTATATCATCATACATGGGACATATGTATACTTGAGGAGTCTAAGTTGTTTATCTGAAATTCAAATTTAAGTGGGCATCCAGATTTTTATCTGCCAAATCTGGCAAACTTAATAAAAAGTAAAATATGGAAACCCTCCTTCACCCTCAACTCTCCTTCCCCACAGTAGCCACTGTTAGTAGTGTGACTATGCTCTTTTCTTCCCTTTGAATTAACTATATATAAACATATATATAAACACATCTGTAAACACTGTTTGGTAAGTTTTCATTTTTAACTGTCTTAGGAACCCTCCACATCACTGTATTTATATCTACCATACTCCATTTCACGGCTACACAGTCCATGGAGGAGCATAAGTTGGTGCTGGGTGTTTTGGGGGAGAGCTATAAAATGCAATGTAGCATCTCTGTAGTTACACATTGGTGCATGGGCATAAACAATATTTTCCTTCTCTTTAAGTTTCTCTGTGTTCACTTTACAGAAGAGATTAAGGTTTGGAGAGAGTTTTGTGTTATCTACAAAAGTACTCCCTACTGTCTTTCACTCTGTTGCATTCGGACCTGCTGGGCACACTGTATCTGACAGGTCTACTTTAGAGCAGCAGAAAAGGCAGTTCAAGTACATGAGCCATGTTTCCACAGCTAGAGGGGCTCTCAAGCTCATGAGGCCAGTTCCAGGTCACAGGTTCCCATCACCCAACTGGCTGGGCACAAGTTAAACATTAAATCATTCTCAGTTCAGGTTCACGATACTGGTTCTTCCCTTGCTAATCTGTAGGTGTCTCAGCACCTTGCCCAGGGACTAACATAAAAGCTAACACTCACTGAGAACTTCCTATGTCCAATCACTTTGGGAGTGCTCCACATTTGTTTATTTTTATTTAAGAGTCAGAGAGTTAGAAAGAGCTCCCATCCTCTAGATCATTCCCCGGGTGCCTGCGATGGCTGGGCCTGGAGCCAGGGGAGCACAGTCCAGGTCTCCCAAGTGGGTGGCACATACCCAGTGACTTGCACTACCACAGCTGTCTCTCAGGGGCTACATTAGCAGGAAGCTGGAGTCAAGAGGTGGAGCAGGAATCAAACCCAGGCACTGCAATATAGGAGGCAGGCATCTTACCCACTGGGCTAAATGCCTGCTCCCTTAAGCACTCTACAAGCAACTCATTCCACCCTCAGAACATTTCTCTGAGGTAAGTACTACTTATGCTCCACTTTTTACACAAGGACATGAGATCAGAAACATTAAGTAACCTCCCCCCAAAACACCTGCTTGCGGAAGAAACCAGATTTGAACCCAAGCAGGCACTCGGATTACTGAGTCAAATGTTCTGTTTTTTTCCTTTTTTGAAAGGCAAAAAGAGATTTTTCATTTGCTAGTTCAATTTCCAAATTCTTGCAACATCTGGGACTAGGTTAGGCTGATGTCAGGAACCTGGGACTCAATCCAGGTTGCCCACACTGGTGAGCCATCATTGGCTACTCCCACATTAGCAGGAAGCTGAAATGGGGAGTGACCAGGACTTGAACCCAGGCCCTCTGCTCCAACTCCCACTCCATATTCTTTTTTTTTTTTTTTTTTTTTGACAGGCAGAGTTAGACAGTGAGAGAGAGAGAGACAGAGAGAAAGGTCTTTCTTCTGTTGGTTCACCCCCTAAATGGCTGCTACAGCTGGCGTGCTGCGCCAATCTGAAGCCAGGAGCCAGGTGCTTCTTCCTGGTCTCCCATGTGGGTGCAGGACCCAAGCAGTTGGGCCACCCTCCACTGCACTCCCGGGCCACAGCAGAGAGCTGGACTGGAAGAGGAGCAACCGGGACAGAACCTGGCGCCCCAACTGGGACTAGAACCCGGGGTACCGGCGCCGCAGGTGGAGGATTAGCCAAGTGAGCTGCGGCGCTGGCCACCACTCCATATTCTTAAGCATCACAATACCAGTTATTCCTTGGGATCCCTGAGGGATTGATTCCAGGGACCCTCTCTTTGGTACCTCTTATGTAAAATGGCATAGCATCTGCATATAAACTTCACACATCCTCTTGAGTACTTTAAATTATCTCTAGATTACTCATAATACCTAATGCAATGTAAATACTATGTAAATAGTCATTATACTGCATTGTTTAAGGAATAATGATGGCCGGCGCTGCGGCTCAATAGGCTAATCCTCTGCCTGCAGCGCCGGCACACCAGGTTCTAGTCCCGGTCGGGGTGCCAGCTGTCCGAGTTGCTCCTCTTCCAGGCCAGCTCTCTGCTGTGGCCAGGGAGTGCAGTGGAGGATGGCCCAAGTGCTTGGGCCCTGCACCTGCATGGGAGACCAGGAGAAGCACCTGGCTCCTGCCTTCGGATCAGCGCGATGCACTGGCCGCAGCGGCCATTGGAGGGTGAACCAACGGCAAAGGAAGACCTTTCTCTCTGTATCTCTCTCTCACTGTCCACTCTGCCTGTCAAAAAAAAAAAAAAAAAAAGGAATAATGACAAGAAAAAAGTCTGTACATGTTCAGCACAGAGGCAATTTTTTTTTTCTGAATATTTTGGACCTGAGGCTGGTTGAGTCCACAGATGTAAAGGGCCAACTACATTCGGAAAGCACAACGCCTCTGGTGGGTTGACGTTACTATCATTCCTAGACACAGGCTGGGCGGATCTCTGCCAGCTCCCACCTCTCTCCTCATCCTCCTCTCTTTCTGAAGCTGTAGCTATACCAGTTAACCAAAAGGAGGCCCAAGAGCCAAACAACCTATTATTCTTGGTCTGCTTTATCTGCTTTTCAGAATCTGCAGGATAGAAAAGAGGGTGATAATTTTCCTGCCCATCATAAAGAGTCACGACCCAGGTAAGCATAACAAGTGTTTTTGATCACAGTTTCACATGACATGGGAACCTTCCTTTAGAAGATCCACAGACCTAGGAGAACTGTCCACTCTCACGCTCAGGTTCAGCAAAGCACTGAGAGCCATGCAGAAATGAAATTGAACAAAAAGGGTCTGATCTACCAATAAGAGCGGGAGCTGGAATACCCCGCAAGGCTTGTCTCTCTTCTTTCTTCTCGGCCTCTCTATGCAGCCTTCCTTCCTTAAGGGAATGGCGTGTCAGAGAATTTCCTGATGGCCAACTCTTACATAAAAAGCTCAGAGAGAGGCCGGTGTTGAGGTGCAGCAGGTTAAGCGGCCCCCTGCAGTGCCGGCATCCCATATGGGTGCTGGTTCCAGTCCCAGCTGCTCCACTTCTGATCCAGCTCCCCGCTAATGTGCCTGGGGAAAGCAGCAGAGGATGGCCCAGGTGCTGGGAGAACCAGATGGAGGTGCAGGCTCCTAACTTTGGCTTGGCCCAGACCCAGCTATTTTGGCCATTTTGGGGGTGAACTGGCATATGGAAGACTTTCTCTTTCTGACTCTGCCTCTCAAATAATTAAACAAATCTTTAAAAAGATGGTAAAAAATATTAGGGTAATATTTTCAGGTTCTATGGCTGGCCTTGAGGAAAAGGGGTTCCAGTTTCTACGACCTGCCTTGGGGAAGAGGAATTCTAATCTCTGAGGCTTGCTTAGGGGGAAGAGACTGAGGATGGGAGCTAGAAGGGCAGAAGTCACAGAAACTTTGCTTCTGAGTTCAATACCTTTTGGGTATTATTTTCTGATTCCCAACAAAGCTCAAAAAATATAAAGCTGAATTTTTGTCTAAAAGCTTTTTGACTGCTGCTATTTTTGAGTCTTACCTTGATTCATTCAACAAATGTGCACTGAGCCCCCACTCTCTGCCAGAGGCATAGCAGGCACTGGAGACAACTACAAACCCAACCGCATGGTTCCTGCCACGTGGGTTCACAAGAATCCCCTCAGAAAACAATTCCCGGCCGCATCTAATCAGCCATGGAGACAACAAGCTCTTGCCAATTTCTTGGTTGAGATGAATGGCTTTTAAGAATTAAACTAAACCATAAAAGGATGGCCAAAATGGAAAGCAACTAAAAATTTTTTTGATTAATTGAAAAAATTTTTTAAATGTGTTTCTGAGAGACAGAGACTGGAAGACACAGAGATCCCATCTGCTGGTTCACTTCCCAATCCTTGCAATGGCTGAAGCTGGGCTGGGCAAAAGCCGAGAGCCAGGAAATCAATGCTGTCCTCCCAAGTGGGTGGCAGGGATCCAGGACTCAGCCATCATTGCTGCCTCCTGGGGTGCCCATTACAGGAAGCTGGAATTAGGAACCAGAGCCAATAATCAAACCCATGTACTTCAGTATGGAACCAGGCAGCTTATCCAATGTTTTTATTTTAAGATTTGCTTATTTGAGGGGCTGACGCTGTGGCGTAGTGGGTAAAACCATCGCCTGCAGTGCCGGCATCCCATATGAGTGGCAGTTTGAGTCCTGGCTGTTCCACTTCTGATCCAGCTCTCTGCTATAGCCTGGGAAAGCAGCACAAGATGGCCCAAGGCCTTGGGCCCCTGTACCTGTGTAGGAGATCCAGAAGAAGCTCCTGGCTCCTGGCTTCAGATCAGCACAGCTCCAGCTGTTGCGGCCATTTAGGGAGTGAACCAACTGATGGAAGACATCTCTCTCTCTCTCTCTCTCTAACTCTGCCTTTCAAATAAATAAAATTTTGAAAAAGATTTGCTTATTTGAAAGATAGAGCCTCAGAAAGGAAGAAACAGATATATATATATATATATATATATATATAGAGAGAGAGAGAGAGAGAGAGAGAGAGAGAGGGAGATTGATTCTCCATCTGCTAGTTCATTCCCCAAATGGTGGGTAATAGCAAGGGTTGGGCCAAGCCAAAGCCAGGAGCCAAGAACTCCACCCAGGTTTCCCACATGAGTGGCAGGGGACTAGGAACTTGGGCCATCCTCTACTGCTTTCCCAGGTGCATTAGCAGGGAGCTGGATTGGAAGCAAAGTAGTTGGGACTTGAACCAACACTTGGATACGAGTGAGATGCTGGCATCACAAGTGGTGGCTGAATTTGCTGTACCCCAACTCCAGCCCCCTTAACCAGTGTTTTAACCGGTAGGCCTAATGCCCACCTCTAAAGTGTAGTTTTGAAATGCAGAAAATACTGTTTTCCATGAAAAGTCCAAAGTTCCTAGGTCAAGTCATGAATGCTGATTTTATCAGGTCAGGTGCTAGGATGAGGAAAAGAGTAAAGTTGCCCTTTTTTCCTGTACAAGGCCCTGGCCAGAACAAAATAATACACGCTTAACCATGGGACGTGGCCCTTACACTCCTCCAACTCCTCCAAGTACCCAAACTATGACACCCTTCTGGAACAACCCAAACCTTAGCCAGAGTGCCCTGAAATATTACAAAAAAAGAAAAAAGAAAAAAGAAAAAAAAGAGCTATTTTTCACCCAAAACCTCCACCCCTCAAATGCTTTGACTTTGGCTTTATAAGGAAAACAAACTTTAGTTAACAGTCACTTTGATCATTTCAGATATTTTATATATATTTTTAATGGCTGCTAGCTATCCCAGATGTGTCACCATGCTATTTTTTTGCAGGGTTAACAAGGCAAAACAAAAAGTTCTAGTATGGGGCCAGCACTGCGGCGGCGCAGTAGGCTAAGCATCCGCCTGTGGTGCCAGCATCCCATATGTGTCCCAGCTGCTCCTCTTCCGATTCAGCTCTCTGCTCTGGCCTGGGAAAGCAGGAGGGCTGCATGCACGTGGGAGACCCTGAAGAAGCTCCTGGCTCTTGGCTTTGGATGAGTCCAGCTCTGGTCCTTGTGGCCACTTTGGGAGTGAACCAGTGGATGGAAGATCTTTCTATCTTTCCCTCTCTCTGTAACTCTACCTCTCAAATAAATAAATCAATCTTTTTTAAAAAAATTCTAGTAGTATGGGCGCCGTGGCTCACTAGGCTAATCCTCCGCCTTGTGGCGCCGGCACACCGGGTTCTAGTCCCAGTCGGGGCGCCGGATTCTGTCCCGGTTGCCCCTCTTCCAGGCCAGCTCTCTGCTGTGGCCCGGGAGTGCAGTGGAGGATGGCTCAAGGCCCTGCACCCCATGGGAGACCAGGATAAGTACCTGGCTCCTGCCATCGGATCAGTGCAGTGCGTGGCCACGGCGGCCATTGGAGGGTGAACCAACGGCAAAGGAAGACCTTTCTCTCTGTCTCTCTCTCTCTCACTGTCCACTCTGCCTGTCAATAAAAAAAAAAAAAAAAAAAAAAATTCTAGTAGTATGAGGGAAGATTTTGGGGGCAAAGGATGAGGAAGGGATAAAAATGATGAACTGTTATGCCTCTTGGGTGAGAGGCAAATCGCATACGTGGTCAGATACAATCAGACACATACACAGTCCGTAGCCCTTTGAATCATCACGATTCACTTGTTTTGAGTGAGGGAGTACAGCTGGAGAGATCAAATCACCTGCATGGTCACACAGCTTAGAGACCAGCAGAGAGGTAAACCAGGAATCCTCAGTGTGCCCACCTAGCACACTCAAGCATTTGCAACACTCAGCTGCAGCCTCCTTCCCCAGCCCATCTTCCAAACCCAGGCTTTCTAAAAGTACTAAGTTTATTTTTTCTATTTTTTCCATAATGGCTCTAATGGCTGCATTTTCCATAATGGCAGTAATAGCTGGTGTTTGGTGGTAAGTGGGAGGAAAATGAAAGGGAAGGAATCTCACTCACTGTATGGGGAGACTGTTTATACCCAGGGCTTATAAGCGAATATTCTCATCATAGATTGACAGAAGTCATAATGACTGTGGGTGGGACATGCTGATGGAAAACATTTTTCTTTTTAACAGAACAACTCACAGGAGGCATTACTGATTTTTTTAGGCTGTAACTAAAAGATTGTATAATTTACCTCTTTATTATTTTACAAAAGAAGGATCTCATTTTCCCAGGGAGAAATTGAACCATTCTGACCTCCGGTTATGGCTATCATCCAGGAAATTTATATAACCTATCTGGGAAACTACAGACTGTTCACATCTACTCTGGCAGCTACAAAAGGCCCACGTCTCATGGAATTATTCATGCTCAGCTCTTCTGGCTCGGGATGTTTTTGGCATATGGTATGGTATTATCTTTTTTTTTTTTTTTTTTTGACAGGCAGAGTGGACAGTGAGAGAGAGAGACAGAGAGAAAGGTCTTCCTTTGCCATTGGTTCACCCTCCAATGGCCGCCGCGGCCGGCGCGCTGCAGCCGGCGCACCGCGCTGATCCGATGGCAGGAGCCAGGAGCCAGGAGCCAGGTGCTTTTCCTGGTCTCCCATGGGGTGCAGGGCCCAAGCACTTGGGCCATCCTCCACTGCACTCCCTGGCCACAGCAGAGAGCTGGCCTGGAAGAGGGGCAACCGGGACAGAATCCGGCGCCCCGACCGGGACTAGAACCCGGAGTGCCGGCGCCGCTAGGCGGAGGATTAGCCTAGTGAGCTGCGGCGCCGGCCTGGCATATGGTATTATCTTAACATTATTTGCCTCCATTCATTGATACAACTATACAGTTAGGTCCTTAGCCATTTCAGAAGAACATACAATTAAAAGCAGGTCCCTTCCTATCTCTGCACCCCAGCTCCTGAAAGTTCTTACTGCAGGACTACTGTACTACTACTTCAGTTTCTTAACACAGCTTTTAATACACCAGAATTGGTTAGCATAGTAGTAGAGGGCCATCTCATACTTTTTCTGATTGAGATCATTATGCTTCCTGTTACGACACATACGAAGACTTGTTTCTCTGTGGCAATACGAAAAGAATCCACACAAAAAACTGCAAGGCCATAAAAAGGGAACTAGGGCTCACAGCAACCTTGAAGATGGCTAAACATATCAAAAAGTGTTACTTAACATCCTGGGGTTCCCCCCTACCCAGTTTCTTCTCTTTTGAAAAGGGCTTGTTTCCTTTTAAAATAATCGAATGATTTAAACTGCAGCACAAGAATGATAATGTCCAACTTGATCCAGCCTCTAGAAAGATATTTCAAATACTTTGATTTGATCTGGCATTTTGTCAAACTTGTGATGCATCCCAGTAAGGAAATGCTGTTGAACATTCGCAAGAGCTCTTGGTAACAGGGAAGGCAATAAGATACTGACCACACACTGCACTCTCAGCGGAGTGGAGGCCTTTGCTTCCTTTTAAGACCATTTGAGGGGCCGGCATTGTGGCTAAGCTGCCCCCTGTGATGCAGGTACCCCAAACGAGCTCCACTTCCAACACAACTCCCTGCTAATGCTCCTGGGAAGGCAGTGAAGGTGGCCCAAGGACCTGGGCCTCTGCCTTCCATGTAGGAGACCCAGATGGAGTTCCAGACTGCAGGCTTTGGCCCGCCTCAGCCCTGGCCAATGCAGCCATTTGGAGAGTGAACTACCATACCACATGGTTCTCTCTCTCTCTCTCTAACTCTTTCAAATAAATAAATCTTTAAAAAGGAAAAAAAAAAAAAAACATTTGGGGATAATTCTTTCACCAAGACTCCCACAAGGGTCACAGACTCACAGGGACAACCGTGGGAATGGCCTGGCCCCACCAGCCCTTCCGTGCCTATCAAGACCTGCTTCCCAGGCGTCATGTCACTGCAGCGTGCGCGTCCCAGGAATTCCAAAGACACCTTGTGCTTCTAGATCTGCATGACTCTCCCATCGGAACTAAAAACGGCAAGAAGTGTAGGAGGAGAGAGCGCGTCATCACGGGGCTGACAGTACCTCTCCGAGCAATGGTAAACGCGGCATACGCGCAGATGCCCACGGTTTAGCAGATCCACTGACTCTGGAACTCTGGGCCATCTATCCAATTCTCCCTCGACTCCACTGAGCGAGTTTGCATGAGTCAAGTCATCTCTCTGATTGTTTCTGCCTAGAAAATGGTCCTGCTACTACTGCTACTAGCAGACAAAGGTGACTCAGCAAAATGCTTCCAGAGAGCCCTCTTTGATCGCCTGCCAGCCCTGTCGCCTCCTGATTCGGAAGATATTTTCCCCAGAAGTTGGAGGGGAGTGCAGCCCATTCTCCCTCTCCTCCCTGCACCACTGAGTCTCCTCTAACAGACTCATGTGAGTTACCTAGGGAATTCTGCACAAGGAGGCCACCCCACCCCGCCTTCTCCAAGCCATGCTGTGGCGCAGTGGGTTAAAGCCCTGGCCTGTAAGCACCGGCATCCCATATGGGTGCTGGTTCTAGTACTGGCTGCTCCTCTTCCGATCCAGCTCTCTGCTATGGCCTGGGAAAGCAACAGAAGATGGCCCGAGTCCTTGGGCCCCTGCACTCATTTAGGAGACCCAGAAGAAGCTCCTGGCTCCTGGCTTCAGATTGGCGCAGCTCCAGCCATTGCAGCCATCTGGAGAGTGAACCAGCGGATGGAAGACCTCTCTGTCTCTACCTCTCTCTGTAACTCTTTCAAATAAATTAAAAAAAAAAAAAATCTTAAAAAAAAAAAGTGAGACACGACATGGGATCCTCAGATATATCCTTAGGAAAAAGTCTATTACAGAAACAGGGAGCACATTTCAGATTCCTAAGGGGAAAAAAGACAAAACTCTCGCCGGGTTCTGTGGACCCCCAAACAGGAGCCAAGTTACAGTTCTAAAAAAATCAAACAGACAGAAAGACGCACCAAAAGGAAAACCTCAAACCTCCTCTGAGCAGAAGCTGCCCGCACCCCCACCACGGAGGGCACTATTTTTCCATTGCCCTCCGCCGGGTTTATTTCAGACCTCTTGGTCTGTCTAGTACAGCACGGGGCCAAGGGAGCTCCCGCATACATTTGCTTTGCGGTAAAGTCTGTATCCCCAGCTTAAACTGCAGGTCCCTGGAAGGCGGGAACCTTGTTTCTTGTCGAAAGAGCTCACTGCACGAACAGTTTTTAAATGCACGGAATCCTCCACGACTTTGCCCAGGGATTCCCACGGGATGAAAGTCCATCCTAGTTCGAAGGAGACCTCATTTCTAGACACCGAATGGGTATCTAACAGGTGTTCGCTGTTTGGCTGGCAGTCGCGGGTGCTGGGTGCTAAACCCTGGAGACCAGAGCAGCCAGCTTCTCCCCAAAACTCACACTCAGCCTGGCCTCCGAGGCAGTCTGAGAAAGGAAGTAGAAGCCGCCGCCCTCGGGCAGGGCAGGGAGACACACCCCCCTCCCGCCTGCAGCGCCCCTGCCCCGAGGGGCATCCGGCAGTTCAAAGGTCGCCCGAATGAGTAATCAGAGGCCAAATCCTACGGCCATTTCTATTCATTCTGTGCTTTCTCCAAGCACGGGCTCGCCACACCACTCTGAGCTGGCGTTGGACGGTCCCAGGTACCGGGACTTTCTCTCGCTGGCTCCCCGTGCCCGCCTCGCTCACGGTCGGCCTGGAGCGCGGGTCCCAGGTGTTCAACCCACCTTCCAACTCGGCAAAGCCGAGCACCACGTCTGAGACGCTCCCCTGCCTGTCTTTGACCTCCAGGGCGGTGATGGTGCAGCCCCAGGAGATGATGTCCACCCTCAGCAGCTCTGACTGCAGCTGGAACTTCTCCACCGTCCCTGCGCCCGAGGGCAGCTCCCCAAACACGGTTCTGGTCACCGAAACCATTGGGAAAGTTCGGGCTCTTCCAACTCCGGGCGTCCAGCCGGGAGCGCGTCCGGTTTATTGGAGAAGGGGCGGGACTGAGCTCACACTCCTCCCCTTCCACGCCTGGATTGAGGGAGTGACCGCTCCTGGAAAAATACCCTCTGGGGCCTTTCTCTACCGTTCGTCTGCCTGAGGGTGACTGGAAGGCAAACTTTGCAGCCAGCCTCGCTGTCCTCTTCCTATGCCCACCCTGGCTGCACTGCATGTTGGGAATGGTAGTCTTTGGGCGGTGAAATTGCATTTTGGGGCCTGTAGTCTTTGTAAATTCAAATCGTGATTCCCCCGCTTCTCCCGCACGGCTTTCTCAACCTGCGTCGAGCTGGTCATTGAAGTGAAAGGCAGAGAGAGCAAAGTTAGGGACCGTGAGGGGGGATCTCAGGTGTGGGGGGTGGGGGAGGGGATATTCTGGTTTTCACTATTTGTACTGCAGTAGGTTACAGAGGGGTAGGTCATTGCAGGTCCTCAGCACACGAGTGACTAAAGAGCCCTTCTTTTCGTCCCACAGTGTGGAGACCTGGCCAGAGAGGAGGAGTAGCCTACCCAGGGTCAGGCAGCTAGAGCAGGCTTTTGTTCTATGGAGATGATCAGAGACAGCTGCGGACTTTTTCTTCAGAGGAAAGGAAGGGACCTTGGCCTCCTGCCCCTTCAAGTTCCTTTAAGCGGATGCGAGGGTGTGGGTGGAGTGAGGTGGGATGTCCACGTCCCATGTCAGAGACCCTGGGTTCCAGTCCCAGCTCCACTGCGTCCCAGCTTCCCACTAACATGTCCCGAAAGGCTGCAGGTGACGGCGCCAGTCATTGGGTCCCTGCCACTCATGCAGAGGGCGCTGGTTTCAGCCTGATTGTTTCAGTCCTGACTGTGTGGGCAGTTGGGGAATGAACCAGCAGATGGGAAATCTCTGTCTCTCTGCCTTAAAGATGATTAATTAACAATTTATATATATAAAAAAAAAAGGAGGGGTGCTGGGGCCAGCACTGTGGCATAGCTGGTAAAGCCACCGCCTGCAGTGCCAGCATCCAATATGGGTGCCAGTTCGAGACCTGGCTGCTCCACTTCTGATCCAGCTCTCTGCTAATGCGCCTGGGAAAGCAGTGGAAGATGACTTAAGTTCTTGGGCCCCTGCACCTCCGTGGGAGATTAGGAAGAAGCTCCTGACTCCTGGCTTTGGATCGGCCCAGCTCCGGCCCTTGTGGTCATTTGGGGAGTGAACAAGCAAATGGAAGACCTTTCTCTGTAACTCTGCCTTTCAAGTAAACAAATAAATCTTAAAAAAAAAAAAAAAAAAAAAAAAGGAAGGGGAGAATGAAGGGAACAAGTGTTTGTTGAGGTCCTTTTAGATGGCAGGTACTGTGCCTTTGCTATCTCCTTTTCCAACAGTAGGAAGAAGTTTTGAAGACTGTCCAGTTGGGCAGGGAAAGACCCTGAGGTCAGTGAACAGTTGTCTTGCCTTACTGTGCTCAGAATTGTTAAATGCGTGTTCCCAGACCTCCTCCTGGCCTGCTAATGCTGGGAGTCCAGGTGAGTCAGCATTTCTCACACTCCCCAGCTTATTCTAATGCAGAGGATCTGGGACCAGATTTAAAGAGATATGTGTATTGCTGTAAGGTTTGATGACCTCAGGGTTGGTTGGTTTGTTTGTTTTTTGTTTTCCCCCAAAAATAGATTGTGAAAGCAGAGGACTAAGATAAAGCTATTAAAGGTCTCACTAGGATTGTGAGATAAAATTCAGGCATCTATGGATTTCTTTACTAAATCTGGCAACTCTAGAAGAGTACTGGGCCTAGGAAAGAGGAGGGTGCTGGGAGTCTAAAGACAAGATTTGCTCCACTCCTCTGCAGAATCCATTTGTCTTTGCCTGATGTTGCTTTTGGCTTAGTTCCTGGGTACTTCGGAGGGTGTCCAACTAGACTGTGTTGAGCACAGAAGTGCCTCTGTGATTAGGAAATTAGGAGAATTGGGGTCATGTTCCTGGAATCAGGTGCTAATAAAATATAATAACTGTCTCTCAGCCCTTTCTGCCTCTGTAATTGAAGGAATATTTAGCATTCTTGCCACAGTCTCCAGCCTCACTCACCGAGCAGGGGGAATTCTGATAGCAAGAAAAAAGAGCTTGCAACAGGCTTTGGGGAAGCGCCACGAACAATAACATCAAGACGTAAGGAAGTCAAATTATAGAGCACACCACACTCAGCTGATAACCAACAGGCACTCCCGCCTGCTGCTTCCTTCATCAGAAATTCTCGTGCACTCTTCAAGTCCCGTCAGCCCACTTCACGTTTGTGGCTGACTCACACACAAGCCCTTTTGGCAATGCTGCCTTAGCAAGGATGTCTTAGAATCTCTTCTGTGAGCAAGAAAACCACATTTTTTTTCTCAGCCTACAGTTCTCAAAGTTCTGCCAAGCTCAAGCTGTCACAGGAAGAAATACATGCATGTGAGGGGCCCGGCACCTAGTGTCAGCAGGGAAGGTCTTGCTTCTCAGCTTGGTAGAGAATGAAGCACTCTGGTGCCGGCGCTGTGGTGTAGCGGGTAAAGTTGCTGCCTGCAGTGCCAGCATCCCATAGGGGCACCAGTTCCGGTCTCGGCTGCTCCATTTCTAATCCAGTTCTCTGCTATAGCCTGGGAAAGCAGTAGAAGATGGCCCAAGTCCTTGGGCCCCTGCACCCTCATGGGAGACTCAGAAGAAGCTCCTGGCTCCTGGCTTCAGATTGGCGCAGCTCCGGTCATTGTGGCCATTTGGGGAGTGAACCAGCAGATGGAAGACCTTTCTCTCTCTCTCTGCCTCTGCCTCTCTGTAACTCTGCCTTTCAAATAAATAAATCGAGAGAGAGAGAGAGAGAGAGAGAGAGAATGAAGCATCCCTGATGTCATCCTAACGTGTAAAGAGTACACTCCTTGATTTCCTTTTCCTTTCTCCTTGAAGGGTATACCATATTGTCCTAAATAGGAGTAACTGCACTTAAGTCAGCTGTCAGGCCTAAACCTGTATTTTTCCTACCTAAATATCTCATTTTCTTAATCCTACAGTGATACTCTTAAAAAAAAAAAAGTCTAAAAATAGAGGCAAATTCTCCCCGTCTTCAGGGAGATCAGAAGCAAGGGAGTAATCTAGAAAACGAAGCATTGTGAAATTCTAGGAGGTATTTATTTTTGAATTTGGAGTACAGCCTGCAGGTGAGATTGTGTAGAAAGGGTGCACAGAGCAGGACATTTATGTGCAGGAAGAATTATTTCAAGTGGGTATCTTTTCCTGGCCTGGGAAGCCAGGCATGAGGCTGTCTGGGCCCGTGGACCCGCCCCCCTCCTCCAGGATTCTCATTCTGTACAGAAATTTCAGTCTGTTCAGTCTGGCAGTCTGTTTTGGGCCCTCTCAGATCCTGGGTTCATAAACACAGCTCTGAGGTCTTCACTATGGATAGGTTGCTCTGCCGGGGAAAGCCTCTGGGATAGCATAAATGAATCCACAGTTTGTCTAGAGAGAGACCTGAAACAGATTCTCTTCCTTTAGGTTGATTCCTTGTCTCAGGCCTGCTCTCCTTCTCTGTGTCTATGAATGCCAATGGTGTTTACTGTCTTTTCTTCTCAGTGGGCACTCAGTATTAATTCATTCTCTTAGATCATTCCTCGTCTTTCCATTTTTTTGTTGTTGTATGCTCAACTCTTGGCTCTGTGAGTCAATATTTTGACCTACATATCTTTTGTAATCCAAATTTATCATTCTGGCTTTCAGATGGAAACAACCTGTACAGGAAATAACTTATATTTCCATGAGGTAGAATTCATAGTTCAATTAAACTCAATTTGTTTTTTATTGACACAAGATGACTGTACATACTTATTAAATACCATGTGATAATTAGATACATCAATACAGGTAATGATCCAACCAGGGTAATTAGCATTTCCATCTTCTTAAGTATTATTTCCTTGTTCAAGTTTATTTCATCAACACTTTTGGAGCAGCTGCTGGGGAGGTATTATAGGGAGCATGGGAGGAGGTATTTGGGTGGATGGAATTTGAATGTGTAGCATCTTATTTGTTCATCCAATATCCAATGAGGGTGTCCCGGGCACTATGCTATGTGCTGGTTATGCATTGATAAGTAGAACATGGTCTTTGCCTTCAAAGAACCTATGGTTTAATGTGATAAAAATCTTCAACTCCATCCCCTATACAAATGTCAGTGAAGCCTTCAAAATTTGCTACCAGCCAATGCTGGATTAAACAAGGGGAAGTAGCTGCCAGATAGTTGTAATTTCTGCCTTATTGAGATTCTATTAGAATTCTCTAGAACAAAGCACAGTGACTGTCACATATTAAATACTCTCAAACAGTAATCATTGAGGGGGCCCGCATTGAGGCATAGCAAGTAAAGCCACTGCCTGCAATGCTGACATCCCATATGGGCACCAGATAGAGTCCCAGCTGCTCCACTTCCAATCCAGCTCCCTGTTAATGAGCCTGGGAGAGCAGCGGAGGACGCACCCATGTGGGAGACCTAGAAGAAGCTCCTGGCTCCCGGCTCCTGGCATCAGTCTGGCCCATCCCTGGCCACTACAGCCATTTGGGAAGTGAACCAGCAGATGGAAGATTTCTCTGTGTCTCTCCCTGTCTCTCTCTATAACTCTGGCTTTCAAATAAACAAAATAAATCTTTAAAAAAAATTGAATGATGATGCAACCATATGTACAAACAATGTTGTAGTGAAGAATTGACCCTAGTATCAAACTACTTGTTTTTTTTTCTTTTTAAATTTTATTTAAGTTATATAAGTTTCATGTATTTCACATATACATATTTAGGAATATAGTGATACTTCCCACCATACCCTCCCTCCCACCCATACTCTAACCCTTCTTCCTCCTCCCTCTCCCATTCCCACTCTTAATTTTTACAAGGATCTACTTTCAGTTTACTTAATGATCATAAAGTTAACCCTACACTAAGTAAAAGAGGAAATATTTGGGCAATTTGTTCAATCACCCTGAACCTCAGTTTTCTCATCTATAAAACTGGAATAATATCATATGACTGGTCCACCCATTCACTTAATAGTTTTTATTTATTTATTGTTTGAAAGGCATACAGAGAGAGAGAGAGAGAGAGAGAGAGAGAGAGAGACAGACAGACACAGAGAGACAGAGACAGAGAGAAATCA